GTTTCCACACCTGATGCTCTCTGATGTTGTCACTGGACAGAGCAAAATGTGATCCTAAAGACTCAAAAAAAGACTTTTTTTTTTTAAAGTGCACTGAAACATACTCGGCAACCATGTTATTAGGTACACATGTCCAACGGCTCATAACGCAAATTTCTTATCAGCCAATCACATTGCAGCAAGTCAGGCATGCAGACATGGTCAAGAAGATCTGCTGGTAATTTTCACTACCCGCCTATGTCATTTTTTACCCGCACAATCAAATTCAAAATCACCCAATCTGGCAACACTGGTCCTTTTTGTTGCATTTTGGCTAGAATAAAAGCAGCTTTGAATAAGGGTTTTTAAAAAAACATTTTAAGGTCAAAATTATTAGCCCCTTTAAGCTATATATTTTTCGATTGTCTACAGAACAAACCATCATTATACAATGACTTGCCTAATTACCCTAACCTGCCTAATTAACCCAGTTAAGCCTTTCAATGTCACTTTAAGCTGAATACTAGTATATTGAAAAACATCTAGTAAAATACTATTTACTGTCATCATGGCAAAGATAAAAAATAAATCAGTTATTAGAAATGAGTTATATAAAACAATTATGTTTAGAAATGTGCTGAAAAATGTGTTGCTCACAGTTCAGGCAGGCTAATAATTCTGACTTCAACTGTATGGAATCCAGAATTCCCTGGATGACACATTTTTTATGCTACATCTTATGTTGATGAGTAATGTTTATTGCACCATAGTGTCGTGTGCTACCATTGGTGTTTAATAGTCTTTGTAAATTAGTATGTTTCTCTGCCTGTGGATGTTTGTTATTAGCATTGGCTCATCATAAGAGGGTCTAATCACCACCTGCTTATCACCACTTGCTAGTATGTTAAAACATTGGTGTCTTATAAATTAATGAGATTACTGTAAAAGTGGGAGATTTATTAAGCCTCTACCATATTTTTAACAGTGCATTTCTATCAATCACAGCTGCCATTTGTTTTATTGTAAATTTTCAGATTTGTTTTTACAGGGTTGGGTAAAATTAGGAGCGCTCAAAAATTCAATTTGCTGCTTGTTCAAACTACTTAATAAAAATGAGCTAAATCAACACAATTGTTGAGGTTTTTAAGGTGACAACTTTTTATGTTCTTAACTATTCTTAAATTGTAAATCTTAAAAATGAAAAAATGAGTAAATTAACTTAATTGATTTGTGTTGGGACAACATGAAGGCATTTTTTTTACAATGAAGGTAAAGTTCCTATGAAATTAAAATAAAGTGTTTTAGATGTTAGTATGTTAGTCTGTGGTGCTTCAAAACAGTGACAAAACTCTTAAAGATCTAACATGTTGTAAGTGATGAAAATAATGGTCATTTTACTATTACTCATTCAGTCAAATATTGTGTCATGTAATGTGCATTTGTATAGCGCCTTTACTTGTGTATGCAAAGGGAAATAGTAGAAATACTTGTCTATAACTGGGCAAATAAAAAGTTTAAGTGTGATTATCAACAGCATGCTGTGCATTAAAGGATTTAAAATCCAGCAATAAATGTGCTTATTTTCAGAACTCAAAATGATATATTTTAAATCAAATATGAAAGATTTCTTTTGCTTCATTGAAGGTCTGTTCACCCAAAACTGAGACAAAATGTAGGTTAATTGGATACACTAAAATTGGTCCTAGTGTGTGAATGTGAGTGTGTGGGTGCTTCCCATTACTACACTGTAAACCCAAAAAGTTAAGGTAAGGTAACTCAAATCGTTTGAGGAAACCGATTGCTACAAACCATTTGAGTTAAAGAACTAATTTATATGAGTACTGTGAACTTACTCCCTTTAGGTTGAAGTACTGAGGTATTTAATCAACTCATTTAGGCCCAGGTAAAATCTGCGGACATTTTTTGCTATTTCTGCAGGGAATTTTGGTAAAAATCTGTGGATTTCTGCTGAATTATTTTGGGAGAATTATAACTAAAATCTTAATTTGTAATATAAAAAATAATCTCTTTTTAACTTTTATTTAATGTTTACAATGCAAATCCAATTAGATCCACTTTGGTAAACAAAGCAAGTCTTTCATATAATATATCTACTAAAAGACAAAAAATAATACTTTAGAAACTGCATTGTACATATATCAGATGAATATTTTCGTATTAGTCAATATTATTACTGTAATTTAAAAAAATGAATAAATATAGATTAACACACATTTACTCAAGTAAATAAACAGTAATAATGATGGGCTAAAATCTGCGGAAATCTGCGCACGCAGATTCTGTGTGGGTTTACTCATTACCTTCAACACAGAGTTCAAAACTTTTTTTCAAATGAGTAGAATTAACTTTCAGTCAATTTTGAGTTAACTACACTCATTTCATTTGATAAAGTTGACTGTTGGGTTTTACAGCGTAACTCTCTCATTGTTCTCTCTGGGTGTGCTGGGTTAAAGCAGGAAGGGCATCTGCCAGTAAAACTTTTGCCATAGTTATTGGTGGATCATTTCGCTGTGGCGACCCCTGATAAAGCAGGGAATAAGCTGAAGGAAAATGAAAAAACTTGGATTAAACTACTCAACGGATTTATTTTTGACCTATTTCATCTTTTTTAAAGCAATAGTTTTGGATGAACAGACTTTCAACAGAGGAGCAGAACTCTCTTCAATTAAAAACATCGTTGTGTTCTAAATATAAACAAACCTTTTTTTGGGTTTAGGATAACATGGAGGTGAATAAATGTTGACAATATTGGGTAAACTAACCCATTTAAAGGTTTGGCTGGTCAAGGTGACCCAATTAGTTTCTGTTGGATGATGATGTAACTACACCATCTTGAATTTTTTAAATATGGGCTCATTTCTGTGAACCTCAAATAAACCTTAATGACTGCCAGTGATTAGCATCATTTAGAGTGGACTCGGCTGTGAGAGTCTGAGGTGCAAATGGGATATGAGGACTGTACACTGTTGAAAATATCTGCTAATTAACAGTTTCTGTATTTTGTGATTTACAAGTGTTTTCTGTTTATTTACACTTGTGAATTGCATTATGGCACCTTGATCTCTGCTTGGTCGACTTTGTATGTTGAAAATTCAACTCTACAGTTTAATAAAGTGGCTTAATTGACATTTTAAATACATTTTACAGTCTGAAATAATATCATGTATAAGAAATAATACAGAGAGAAATACCAATGAACCCAAACAATGAAATGAAATGTCACAAAAAATGGAAATAAAAGTCACATTTTTGAACTTTTCAAGGTTAAAATTTGTTGTAGGAAAGATCAATGTCCCATAATGCAATTCAGAAGCATAAATAAATGGGGAAAAATAAAAAACATGAATCACAAAATACAGAAAATTGCTAATTTACAGATATGATGTGATTTTTATAATGTAGAGTCTTCTTTATTTTTGTAATCATAAATCTGAAATTACTGGAAGTATTATGTACAGTGAATCTAATATTAAACTTTTCATTTATACAGCTTGACCAGAAGCTAAATACCAATAGACTTTTATGAGGTGTACCAGAGGTGCCATTTCCTGTTCTTGCAAAGTTCAGCTCCAACCCTGATCAAACACCTAACCAACCAATTAAGATCTTGATAATGACAGACTATACAAGTGTGAACAGGGCTGGAAATGAACTCTGCTGGAAGGTTGATCTCCAGCAACAGAAATGGGCACCAGACTTATATGGCCAAAGCGCCACCCAGTGTCTGAGTAGTGCAACTGCTAAAGACACAGTCTAACACATTCTGCAGCTAAATAAAATACAATAAATAAACACAAAATATCTCTAAAGCTTTAAAAAGATTTTTCATTCATTCATTTTCTTGTAAGCTTATTTCCTTTATTAAGCCGGGGTCGCCACAGCGGAATGAACCGCCAACTTATCCAGCACTTTTTTACGCAGCGGATGCCCTTCCAGCCGCAACCCATCTCTGGGAAACATCCACACACACTCATTCACACACACACTCATACACTACGGACAATTTAGCCTATCAAATTCACCTGTACCACATGTCTTTGGTCTGTGGGGGTAACCGGAGCACCCGGAGGAAATCCTCGTGATCGCAGAGAGAATATGCAAACTCCACACAGAAACGCCAACTGAGCCGAGGCTCGAACCAGCGACCTTCTTGCTGTGAGACGACAGCACTGCGTTGCCCTAAAATGATTTTTAAATCTATTTTTAATCTTTAAATTATTAGAGGAGGGCCAAATGAATGAAATATTTCTTTTCAGTTCATAGCAGTATTATTACAGCATTATAGTTTGTTTTTTATAGAATTATATTATATTATACTATTTTTTTATTATCTGTTTTCAACATTTCAATAGTTCTCTGTTGACTACAATATTTGTATACTGTAGGTCTACATAAAGATTTTTTTCTTTCAGTTTTATAATAATATAAATTTGTTATAATTTAAGTTTTTAAAATTTTGTTAGGCTCTATTGTCATTTTTTAACAATTTAAAAGTTTTTTATACTTAGTTTTCAATTGTTTTTCTTTTAGTTTTAGTATTTTTAGTGCTGTAACTTCAACTTATTTTATTTCAGTTAATATTTAATAAGAAAACACAGAAACACATTTTTCTAAATTATTTTCTACCCCGTTAAGATTAATTTTACTCATTGGAAATGCAGTTAAGTGTGCAAAAACCAAACATTATCTGGATGCACTCGGATTTGCAAACTGAGAATGCACATCTTAGAATTGTAATGTCAGACGCATTGAGCTTGTGACGTCAGTTTAGGTTAGGATTAGGGTTGGGGTTAGAGCATCGCATGCAGCTCAGATAGCAAATGCACCAGGTCTACATCTAGACCCCTCTGCAAAAACTTTAAAAAACTTATTTAAGATTCAATTTTGAATCACAAAACTGATGCAACAGGTAAAACCAAAAACAAACGGAATTCTGCCACTTAGTGGTGAAAAAAAAACTTACAGTATTAAAGATCTTTTGAAATTAAAACAAAATATTCTATCATTCCTTATTATAAGAATTTATTAATGATTTTTTTTGAAGCCTCTAATAAATAATTTCATTTTAGAATAAACTATCAGTCAGAATTAAGGCATAAACACACTCCCTCCAGCACCCAGTGAGAAATGTGCTTGGTGGTGTAAAGATCAGCCTCAAACACCAGTCCAACACCCATGGCATTCCTTCTCATGGATGTAGTATAGACTGGAGTCCTCAGGGTGTTCTGAAAAACACAAACAGAAACTTTACTTATATATTTTTATTCAGAGACATCAAAAAGTAAACTTCTTGAGGCAAGACACTGCAGGTCAATGGGGAAAAAAAATCAGTAACACTTTACAATAAGGTTGTATTAGTTAATGCAATTAAATGCATTTACTAACATGAACAAACTATGGAAAAAAGTTTTAGTTCAGGTTAACTCGCGGTTCATTAACTAATATTACAAGCATGAATTTGGATTTTAAAGGTCTCATAAAATTAAAAATGTTAAACGTTAGTTTGTCTGTTAGTTTTAAGGACCTCTATATGTTGGTGTGCTCCAAAATAGTGACAAATTAGAAGATATAAATCTGATATAAACATGTAAAGCTTCCGTCTAAATGGATCAACGTTTTTTTCACATCACCTCATACTTGAGCTTGACCAATAAAATGCTCTAGTATCTGACATGCCCGCTCCCTTCAAGACGCGTTCTATATTGCTTTTCATTTGATGCACTTGAGCTCAACCACTCGCACATGGCAGAGCAGTGATAAACACAAAGCGCAACTGGCTACTTTTTAAAAAGGGGAGGAGCTACTCTACATCCCTCTCTTCATTTTTCAGTTGAGATAACTTCAAACATCGAAGAAAATGCACATTTCGAAGCACTTCATGGGGCCTTTAATAATGTATCAGTAAATGTTAAAGTAAGATAATTAAATGCTGTATAAGTATTGTTCATAATTAGTTCATGTAAGTAAATGCATTACCTAATGAATCCGTATTGTAAAGTGTGACCAAAACATTCATATAGATCCCTAGTTGTTTGATTAAATTAGGAATTGGAAACCTTTATTTGTATTATAGGTTTTCAAAAATTGTATAAATACGCAAATGGGGCATTATTTAATCAAATGTGAATAAATTTGAATACAGAAATCTTTTTTTTTTTTCATTTTTTGGACATCTAAGTCAAAAGTCAAAGGTTTGGGGATTTTTTTTAATTTTCTTTTTAGAAAAAAAGTTGTGCATACTAGTATAGTATAGTATAGTATAGTATAGTATAGTATAGTTAGGCATATTATATATTAACATATCTCTCTTTGAAAACCTTCTGAATATAAACTAACTGACAAATATCATGTTGCCTACCCAAGATTGAAAAACAATAAACAATAGCCTGACTTCTAGTTGATCATTTGGTATCAGAAGTGGCTTATGTAAGAGGCAAAAGCCTCTAGATTACGCTTACTTAACCGAAATAAAATATGATCATGCCTTGATTTTTAATTATTGAATTAGGACAGTACAGTCTGACTTTGCTGAGACAAAAGTCTTGTCACTTAACAGAAATAATGTACAGTATAGAATATAAAGTCATGGTGCAGTGGAAAAAGAATAAATATTTATGTCCCATGCATTTGGACGACTTCATCCCTGCTTCATTCGTGCATCTCTGCAATGACTCAAACAACCTATTAATAAAGTCATCTGGAATGGCAAAGAAAGCGTTCTGTATGCTTCTATTAGCAACAGCCTTTAAAGAATGTCTAGTAGGTAAAGGTATAATTGAAACACAAATTGGTAAATTTCTATACAAAAAATTTGTGTATTTTGGATGTTTTCTTTCCATTAGAATGAAAAAAATAAATGGAAAAAATAGAAAATCCGTAAAGGTCAAAATATCAATTTAAACTCAGAGGTGCCAGTAGTTTCTTGTTTTTAATAAGGAAAGTCTTGCCTGTAGTTTGAGGCGACGTGCTTCAATAGGGATGATTTTGAGGATGGGTAGCTGAGACACCAGGACTCTTGGTTTGCTGCGCACCAAACACCCGTTGTCAATGTCCCAGTCTGCACCCTCCAGATACAGTCCTGATACAAAACATCCTGAGAGACAAAAACGGAAAGAGCGTGTTTTCAGTCTGTTCTTGACTCACAGTATCTTTGTGTTCATTTAGTGCACATGCCCTCACCTTGTCCTGGTCTCTCTTTGACCTGGTCCTCGCTGCTGTATTGTGTGACCTGTGTGTAGAGAGTAGAGTGATCCAGAGGCCAGCCGTTCTTCCTGCACGTGGCCTGGACCAACGCAGTCAGGTACGATTCAGGGATATGCAAACCTGAGAGCCACATCACGTACGGCTCTCCTTCATTCACCTGCACCAATGAAAAAAGGCATTTATTTAGTAGGCCATTCATTACATTTAAAACAGGGTATATACAGGAATCAGAGAGTAAAATTTAAAACCTTTTAAGACATTTTTTACACTCTTTTCATACATTTTAAGACATTATCACTACTGAACCAGTAACATTAGTGACATTTTAAATATATTCCCTAAATATGGATTGTAAGAAACTAATCCTAAACTGAAACAATACTCATATACTTTATAAAAATGTTAATCCATAAGGTGTCGCCTATAGAACAGCAAAAATAATGGTGCTGCCTTCGTTACTGTAGTAAACAGAGCAGTGCGACATCAAGTATGGCAGGATTCTATCAATTTCATAAACTACATAGCATCCCAAAATTTCTAACTTTAGTTAACAACTATAATAACGTTATATAACTGTATAATCAAAAATGATGCAAAATTTAATACCTTGTAACAGCATTTAAGACTTTTTAAGATTCTTAAATTTCTCTAAAATAATTTATCAACATTTAATACTTTTTAAGACCCTGCGGACACCCTGTAAAAACAAAGGGTGATAAGTATTCTTCAATCAAGTGCACAGAGACACACTACTTGTCATGGTCTCAGGAAAAGGGAGCGAGGACTCTAATGCAGTATATAATATTGGTTTATTAATAATAAAAATAAAACAAAAATGCAACAAAAACAAAGACATAACTAAAACCCAAACTGGGCTGGGAAGAGCAGGGCTGGACACAACATATGACGACAAGCTGGCACAGGACAGCAGACATGAGAATATAAGCAGAAATAATCAACAGACAAGTGAACAGGAAAAACTAACAATGGGTTAACAGGGAGGGTGCTTTAGTGTCTCATGTGAACACGCGGTTGATAAGAGAACTCATTAACCGCGTGTTCACATGAGACACTAAAGCAAGCAGTGCATGTAAACATAAACCACCAACAGAAAACATGCTAAACACCACACCAACTGAAGACTGAACGCACAACACGAGTACACGATAAATAAACTCAACGTGCACTCACACATGCAACGTGGATATTTCAGCTCAACGCCAACCGAAACCGAACCCAACTAGACTAAGACGCTAAGAATGAAACAGCACGCTGCAGACAGAACAAACACAAACACCAGGACGAGAGCGTGTGTCACAAACACACCCAGACCTCACGCCCTGCATCAAGCTGGAGCGCACATGACCCAAACTCGGTTGAGACACCGCTCATACAAAAGACACACAATGACAGAAAATGATTGAAGAAAACTCGAGCCGAGCACAACATACAAGACATGACAGGACTAGTGTCTGGACTACCAAAACATGAATTAACAAGATCGGAGTGGCAGAATCCTGACACTATAACTCAAAAGTTTGTGACATTACTTATCACTTACCGGCCTTACATGCTCAAACGTTGTGGCTAAAACTGAGTTGAAACACTAGAAACACCACTTAGGTCTGATAACAGTCTTTTTTTTAGGGTAAAAAGAACAAACACTGCTGTGTTTGGCTGCTCTGTGTATGGGCCGGTATAAGCATCTAACAGTTTGATAACCTTGGATAAAAATATCAGTTTCAAAACATATTTTAGAGTTTGGATTTTGGCCCTTCCTCCATAAGAAAAAGTTTGGGCACCCCTGATATAAACTGTAGCATATCAGTACATGCAAATAATCTCATGACAACTCAAAAAGCAGACACTGAATTGTTCTCTCACTTCTCTAGACTGCTCACTCCCATCTATCTCTTCCTCCAGTTCTGCACAACATCCAATGTACTTTTTAACTAAATAATAAGCAACAAAATCTTGCTAAGAGGGAGCCTGCCAAGAAAATAATGCCCACTTATGGTTTGTTATCGGATTCTCACCCATGAGCTGTACTGTTCATGTCGTCTCTTGAAGTGGATCATCCAGTTTCCCAGAGATTTCAGAGTGTCTGGTGCCAGTTTCCTCCAGATCACAGGAATCTGCCCATTAAAAAGAGCTCTGGCCACCTCATCCAACTCGCTGCTCATTCCCACTTCACCAGCCAGAGCCTTTGAAGAAACACAACACATGGCGTACTTCAAAACCCAACAATAATAATAATAATAATGTCATATTTATGAACCATTACTATACAGGGCTGTTAGATGTTTGATTCTGATTGGTTGAACTTTCTAAGGTGTGCATATATTTTTAGATAAATAAGAGTTAAAGTAGTTCCAGGCATGTCATGACCAAGTTGCAGTTCCACAGCCTAGAAAATGGTTTGCATGATATACAGTATGTTAGCAACAAATCCAACACACAGGAACGGTTTGACTGCAAAAAAACTGACACATTTTAAAAAATACAACATCTGAGAAACATTTTTAGGTATGGTAAACGTAGTATAACACGAATAACTGACTCCGGTCTGTTGAATTGAGTTTTATTTCTGATTGATGTCCCACTCACGCGCTGTAGCTCAGCCAGAGAGCGGCTCATCCTCACGGTGAGTTTGTTAAAGCGCTCCAGCTCTTGAAGCAGTACCACAGATGTAGGAGAGATCTCCAGTCCCAGCTTCTTGCGGATCACGTCCAGATCAAACACTTCAGGCAGTTTGCTCTGAATGTCCCTCGCCACCTGGCTGATGTACTCATCTCGACTGATACCACCGCCTGAGTCACCTAAAAATTATACATGCCAGAAAGTATATTTACAAGCAGCAAGCATTTTCAAAAAAAAAAACTAAATCAACAACAGAGGATAATTCGCTAAATGAAGATGTAAAGAGCTTTCAATTGCAGTAGCAAAATAAAAAATTTAACAGCTTTACCTTTTTTCCTCAATATATATTTAAAAAGAAATAATGTCAGGCAAATTCAGAACAAGAATCCTTTGTTCAAATATTAAAATGCTTTATATTAAAAGAGTTTATGGATCATAGAGCAGGACCAAAATACAAAACTAGTTTCATTATTAATTGTTATAATTTGCGACTATCATTTAAATCTTTATTTAGCATCTGTATGTCACAAACATCATGTCAAATAGAATTAAATTTATTATGATCACGTAATTTTATATAAGTACTGGCCTGAATAAGTTCACATAAACATATTACACCGAAAGACACTAGAACATTGTCAGTTACATATTTCAAAATTTTTTTAAAAAATTAAAAGATACTTAACTTGCATTTAACATGCTTTATTAGTTGCTGACAACAATAATTGTCTTATTTTTGGCCCATATATATATATATATATATATATATATATTTATTATCAATAATTCTATACTATTAATACATATACTATATTTTATAGTGGAACAATGATCATATCGATTATATATAGAATAATCAATATAATACTATATATATATATATATATATATATATAGTGGGAATATACAGGGAGGTTCTGGCTTCAACTGTATATTTTATATAAAATAACAATAAAACCAGGTACCTGTCTGTGGTTGGAGCTCAATAAGATGAGTCCACATGTCCCGGGCAGCCTGAGTGTAATATCCAATCTCAGCATTAGGGTGCAAACCAAACACCTCTGCAGTGTTAGCAAGAGGCAGCGACTCGATCTCATCTGTAAAAGAGAGAAAGTTTGAGTCACATTCAACGCAGTCTTACTGATCCTAAAATGAAGGCTGCAACATACCAACGTAAACCTGCTTGGGTCCAAGTGCTGGGATCTTGTAGTCTACATCTGCATTGTGAAAGAAATGAAAGGGCTGGAAGGTGTCAAAGATGAAGTCGCCCAGATATTCATCCGTGTAAACTGTGAGGATCCTACGATCAAAGCTGTCAATAACCCTGCCGCCATACATCACCTGAGACCAAAGAAACAAAATACTTCACTACATATCCAGGCTGTATTTATATGAGGAAAAATACAGTAAACAGTAATGTGATTTAAAAAAATAATTTAATTTAACATCTACTATTTTAAAATCTAATTTATTCATGTATTGGCATTGAAACATTTTAGCAGCAAATACTAAATTATTATAAACATCAAAATGTAAAGCAGTTGTATTGCTTTGTAGTACGACTACTTTTTTTATGCTGTTTTTTTTTCGTCTATGATCTGGCAACACAAATGAGTCGAGGCTTATACCTCTGTGCTTTGCAGTTCACATAATTATGCACTATTACATTTTTCTAGTTTAGTTTAGTTAGTTAATTTATATAGCACATTTTTTAACACAACGTTGGCCAAAGTGATGAACACATCAATAAAACTAATTAAAATAAATCCTACATCACATATATAACAATTAAACATAGGGCAAACCCCTAAACATTAAAAAGGCTCTAATGCTAAAGAACAAAGACAAGCTTTTTAAAAACAGATGAAGTTGAACGTGTCTAATGTGAGGTGGAAACTTGTTCTAGAGTTTTGGGACGATAACAGCAAAAGCCTGATCCCCTCTTCGATTGCACTGGGGCCTTGGTACAGAGAGAATAAGCTGATCAGAAGACCCTCGTAACTTTCCAAGATTATATACATGTTGGAGATCTGATAAGTAAGGTGGTACCAGACCATTTATGGATTTATAAACAAAAATTATTCATTAAAAATCAATCTGTGACCTAACAGGCAGCCAGCCCAGAGAGGAAAGAACTGGTGGTATGTATGTGCTCATACTTGCGAATAGCTGTCAGAAGTTTCACAGCCGCATTTTGGACTAATTGCAATCAATTCAGGGCATTTTGACTAATACCCTTCATACAAAGAACTGCAATAGTCAAGTCTCCCCAAAATAAAAGCATGAATGACCATCTCAAGGTCATTAAAAGAGATAAATGAATTTTGCTACAAGTCGTAAATGGAAAAAAAATGGATTTAAGAACTGAATTTACTTGTTTGTTAAATTTCAGATCATTATCGAACTGAAGCCCAAGGTTTCTAACAACAGGTTTTTGATAAGTTGATAGCTCACCAAAACCTAATAATTCCAGAGGGGCAGGATCCCAAATTTTGTGTTCACAATTCTAAAAAGAAATTTGAATTTATTTAACAGAACAAACAAAGTGTGTAATATAGTTCACCTTATGCGCTCAACTGAAGCAGCTTTAAATATGTAATGAAGGGAGCAAGGCATTCAAATGCAGACAATAGCCCCTTTCACACGTACAGACCTTATGAGTTTGTGAACAGGCCCTTTTTGAAAATACCAGTAAATTCATTCCGGCTATTTTCCGGAAAGAGAAGTTGTAACATTACCGGTAATTTGCCAGGAGGCTTCACTGTGTGAACGCAGAAGGAAGATTGCTGGAAAGAGCGCGTTCATGTCTAGAACGCGCTGCATCAGACGTCTACTTTAGCCAATCAGAACACTCAGACACATTCACGTCTGCACTGTTTATGAAAATGAAAGCCTTTGAATATTTTTCCAGACACATTTAGCTGCTGAATATTAGTCAAATAACGTTTATATGTTCCTTCTTAATGCCAACTGTGTAAATAATTATCGATAAGATGATTATTTACAAAATAACCTTATAGAGTTAATACACTAAAAGGTCAACATCATAGTGCATAAATATAAATACATAAACACACATTTTTCTGTGCAGTGGGTTATTTGGACACATCTTTGGGCATAAACTGATTGTTTTGTGTAGTTCTGTGCACACCCATTGTCATTTTTGTAAATTCAGATGTTACTATTCCATTATTCATTGATTATTCAATCACTTTAAAAAGAGGGGCAAGAGACTTTTTTAATTTAATAGATTCTGGCTTTAACAATATTCTTGTAGTCCATGATTAACTTAATCAACTGTTTACCTCTCCAATTAGGTATTTCAGACTTCCCCATGGTATTATTTCATCTCCTTGATTCTGGGCTTTGGTCAAATAGGTGTCCAAGATTTCCATACACACCTGATAATGAAACAAACATAATTAAAAAGCAATGAAAACTTTCAGGGACCTTCCTGTTAAAGCAAACTTACCAGAAAATCTGATTCGTTGAAATCATAAGGCACATTCCATCCGATTTTGCCATACTTGCGTCTTTCCTGAACTACAGCATGGAAGAAAGCCAGCACATAAACCAGACTGCGAAAGGCTGGGTGAGCGCAGTTCATCAGCTTATCATGAGAGATCTTAAAATACGTGGCCCTCATGTTCAGCTTCAGCCCATTTGGAGGTTCTGTGACAACCTGGAGGTGACATGAGAAAAGCATGAGCTGACGTGAGAAATACTAATTCACACATTAAATGTTGTCGCATTAAATGTGTCTTGACCTTGAGGGATTTCTGCAGGATGCCGATGGGAAAGTCTTTAATGGGCTCTGTGGTGAGCCAGAGGCGGAAGTCTGGATGTGGCTTAGTGATTCTTTCCAGCGTTTTCTCTAGATCCCTAAGCCATTTCACTAACAGGTGACAGTTTTGTAGCATCAACCATTGACCTCTTGCTACAGCTGTATCCAACAGCTGAAATGCAACCTACAAAATAAATGAAACATTTGTAGCACAAGCTCAAGGGTGTACTTCACAATCACACTATTATTGGTTAATACATAATACTCCACTGCAGTGCACTACACTGGTGTCAAATATCATAAATGCAGCATATAGACTTGCACATGTGTGTTTTTCTGTTTGTGTGTGTGTGTGTCTGTGTGTGTGTGTGTGTGTGTGTGTGTGTGTGTGTGTGTGTGTGTGTACCTTTTCCTGTCCCTGCCCCATGGCAAGAAATTTGAGTCTGTTGACGCCAAAGCCTGAGTGTTTGGCCAACTTCATCAGATCGCTGGCTGGTTCTGAGCCTGGACTCAGAATAAACACGATGGGTGAGTTTGGAGAGCTTTGGTCAAAAATAGCTTCAAAGCTTATCACAGGAGGCTGCACGTATCTGAGGAAATAAGTGTAGAATAGAGCAAGTCAATACTTCATACTCCTATAAAAAATTCTTCCAATTGTTTTTGATATTTAATAACTTAGACATTCAGTTTTTTTTTTTTTTTTTTCTGGCTATCAGTTTCTGGAAGTTGGAGTGAAGTTCCATGCTAATAGAGACTAAAGATAATAGGGATGCTGCACAAAGACCATTGAGCAAGGTGAGGATTTTGTTAAATAATACAATCAATTTTAATCATATAACCAAAAAATCCTCGCTGTTTATGGTCATATTGGGCGATGTGTTGTCTTTTTTTATTTATTTTTTAAATTGATAATGATTACGATGCACTTCCATTATATCGGTGTGGAACGTGAACAGTACATTTTTTTTACATTTCTTCTTTGAATGTCTGAAAAAACTATACATACAGCTCTGGAAAAACACAAGAATGTGTAAATAATGACTAGAATGTACTACACTATTTTTGCCTTAATTTCTGTTACAATTTGCAGTCGGAATAAGTTATTGGGCTTTATTTTAATGATTTAGGCACAAAGTCTAAAGTACATAGTGCAAAAGCATTAAGAGTGTCCAAATCCACTTTTGCTATTTTAAGGACAGAAAAATATGCTCTGCATCCTGGAGCTTGGATTGTGCTCATTTTCCTAATGAGTTATGGCTGTGTTTTGAGCAGAATGTGCATTAAACCAACCAGAGTCTCATCTCCCATTCCCTTTAAGAGTCACACCATGGAGCAGACTTTGTAAGTGGAAAAACGATTCACTGGCAAAAAACAGTTAAACAGACCATCTGCAGTGTTAGGATAAAGAACGAGCCTCCTCTATTCGGCCTCTTTACGTTTTCTTTCTATTCACTTTAGTGGATAAGGAAATGGTGTTGTACGTAACCCACTGAAGACATCCATTAGTTTACATACTTAATTTTGTTTGTTAAGTGCAAAGATTTGTTTTAAAACTATTTCTAAATTCAGTTCTAATTTCCAGCAAATGAATAAATGAGCAATAATAACGAAATGTGAGTCCTATTCTTATGCCCCATATGATCCAAAACTTAACAGGTGGACAAATTTAAACTTGTTTTTGTTAAAAACAAATATAAATATGTATATATTAAATACTACTACTACTACTAACAATAATAACATTATACAAAAGCAAACTGTCATGAATAAATTGAAAAAAGCCACCCGACACGAAGAAGGTATGGTATAACACTCTAATCCTTTATAATTTTTTTTTCCACATGTAAAAATATTTGTGCATTGCTGTACATCCTGTGTGTATTAAGCAATGTGTAAGCGTTTGGACCCGCACATGTGCATAACTAACGTGCTTTGCGCTGGACTTTAGACCAGCTTTTAGTTGGTCAATGGCATAGTCTATTTCAGTTCCTCAAAATAGCAACGTGCCAAAAATGCGATTTAACACACCTCCTTTTCAGACCGGAACACACAAGTCCCCAAAGTGGCGCAAATGGATTTGCTATTTAAACAACGTGGTGCAAAATGTGAAATTTAGTGTTGCACTAGGCTGCAAATAGCAACAAATTGCACTAAACACATCTTGCGGCTTATTGTGCCAGGTGTATGATAGGGCCCATTGAAAGTCAGATCTAGACTGCAGTTTTTTCAGATTTTATAAAAAATATTATATTTTTTAGTTTTTATTTTATGTTGTTAAAATATGAATATTAGATTGGTTTTCAAGAAGAAACTGTATTCAAACATTAAATAATACTGCATTAAATATCACTAAAAGATTATGGAAAAAAATAAAATGGATGTGTATAATATTGCTGGAGTTAGAGCAAATAAAGACATTGAATGGCTTTCCTGAGGTAATTATGAAATTTTAGTTTGCATGGTTAAAACTCCGACTGAGATTACATGAGATATTATTCATTTCAGTATTGTAATTTTTGTTTTTTCCACATACCTTTATATATTTATATTTATTTACTGCTATAACTAGTAGCAAAAAAAAGGCAATCAGTAAATGTGTGCTTGATCTGTGCTGCTAATAGAACTGCTAAGACCACAGCAATCTATCTATCACTCCATATTTCATCATAAAATCCACAAAATTGATAAGACTCGAGTTAGAATTAAACATAACAAACGTATTAACAGGCAGACATGCTATGAATGTTTAGTAGAGATCACACATCAACAGAATACAGCACAAACATAATCTGTTTCATGATTTACTGATGTTTTTCAGTGTCCTCTTACTTCTCTCCCATAGTAAGCGTGACGTAATCACTGACGGCACGGTACACTCGGTCCAGCCTGAAGCAGCGGATGAGCAGAAGCTTCTGAAAGGGAGAGAGGTTTTCTTTGTACTTCATGGGGAAGGAAGCCTGCTCTGGAGCATCCAAGTCATACCACTATAGAAGAAACAAAAACAACAGTGTTAACACCCCGTAAGTGATTTATAATAAGGGTTTATTAATGATGTTTGTGATGATTTCTGCCACTTACATTCTTCCATTCCTCAGGATTCTTCTCTATATCATCAGCTAAAGTGCCAAACTCATTAGGAAAGAGTTCCATGAGGCGTATAATATCCTCCCAACCTTGATCAGGCAGCCAGTCCAACAGCTTCTTACGTTTGCTCTTTTCCAGAGAGAGGTTACCTAGAAAAGAAGAAGATGGGATGTGTTTATGCGCATTATTTATACTGTAAAAGAGAGAGAAACAGAAGCAGACAAGGCTTCCTGAAGCTCCAACCTTTAAAAAAGAACTCCAGTTCATCTTGTGGTGCTCGGCCCTCAGCCTGCTCTATCTTAATAGTCATGTTGAAGGAGAAGAGAAGTTTGTGTCTTTCAAACAGACCTAAACAACAGAGCAAAAGAGGCTTAGTGTAAATCTACAATTATTCAAAGAAACAGGTTATTGTTATCCTGCAATTTCCTACAATAGATGCAAATAGTATAGAAAAAAATCTTACACGACACTGCAGGTGAACAGGGTAAAAACATGAACTAATAGCCTTACACCATACGCCTCCATTTGATTGATTACATTAGGTTCAAACATTTTTTCGTATTGCAAGTTTTAAAAATGATATGTTTAAATATGTAAATTAGGTATTGTTTAATAAATTACACAATAACATTTTTTAGCACAAAAAAACATTGAATGAAGCCAGGTTCAAAATTATTGGTTAATTTTTTTACAGTGGGGATTCAGGGAGACTCTTTTTATCACGCTATAATTCATTTATAATTCAAGATAATGCCATAACTTTTTTTTTTTAATATAACCAGAAAAATTAATTTTGAACGTATCCTTCTGTAAAAACCTTCAGAATATGGATATGAATAAAACTCTGAAGTCTGGTGTGTGTAAATGATGCTGAAGTGAATGTTTTCAGGTAATTGCAGAAGAAAATAAACATTTGGAGTTATTTTGAAATTATGTACTGTAACTGAAACTACAGAGAAACCAATGAAGTGTGATAAAAGAAAGACTTAAACGTGTATTTTAGATTTTTTTTTCATTGGACTAAAAAACATTTTATAAAAGTAAAAATTGCAAAATTGACTGATACAAGTATTTGCCTGCAGCATCTCTATCTCACCATGATAAGGTGTTTACCAGTTACTTATATGTAGGCCCACATGGAATCTGCACACACAGAAATCTTTATCCCATCATTGAGTCGATCTATTTACTTCTGTAAATGTGTGTAAACATACATTTATTCAGTTTTTTAAATTAATTTCAGTTATATTATTGACTAACATGCAAATGTATATATGATTTATTTACAATACAGTTTGCATACATATGTATACACACATATTATATTTTGTAGATATTTTATATAAGAAAGCTACTTTATCGAAAAAGTTGATCTAAATAAATTTGCCATGTAAAACTTAACATATTATATTTATTTACTGTTTAATGTTTAGATAGAATAATCCCAAAATAATTCTGCATAAAAGTTTGCAAAATTCTGTGCAGAAATGGCAAAACATTTCTGCAAATTCTGTCTGGCCCTGCTATATATCAGATGACATTATCAGGCTCACCAGTACAGCCATAGTTATAGACATTCTGTGTAAGTGTGTCTATGATGTTCTTCAGTCTGCTGGGCAAGATTGGGTTGGGCAGAGACTTGGACAGTGACAGGTCAAACACCTCTAAGAAGGAAGCGAGTGAATACTGATACATGCTGCTGACCAGAGCCATCTCAGCCAGCACGAAGAACAACACAGCCCCTCGCTTGGCAGCTGGTCTGTACCCGTCTCTCAGTGTGTCGATATCCACAGCTGTCTTTTCTGCCAGCTTCAATTTCTCGAAAACCTGTTTAAGTCAAGTAATGAATGTTAAATCAAAAACTACTGCATTAATCAGCATGTACAATAACATTTAAAATATTGAGGACACTCTTTTTTATTTAAAAAAAAACAACTTTTTAATGGTTATGTATAGGATGCTTCCTTTATTATGCTTCCTATATGCTATAATATATTTAACTTTAATATTTTGGTCTAAACATAAATAAATCCCAACAAACTATTTTATTATTCCCAAGCTTAGTTGTCATAAGCTATAGTTAAGCTATATATGTTATATTGGGTGCCTGCTTTTAGTTATTACCAGTAATGTAAAGCAACTAATTACAAATACTCAAATTACTGTAATTGAGTAGTTTTTCTCAGAAACTGTAATTTACTAAGTTTTAAAAATTTGTACTTTTACTTTCCCTTGAGTACATTTTCAGTGCAGTATCTGTACTTTTACTCCACTACTTTCCTTCAACTTGCAGTCACTACTTTATTTTTTCCTGTTAATGGGGAGTAGAGAAATTAGTCCTGTGATTCCTATCTAATCAAATCACACATAGAAGGAAAATTGCATCATAATGAGCTACCTCAAGACATGGCCGATTAATAATTGCAGCAAACTGTTTGGAAGCATTAAAAGCGGTCAAGAAGATGTTCAAAATCTTTACACGCATTGACCCAGAGATTGTTTAGATGCATGTTACTGATGAGAAGATGACAAATGTTTACTGTATGATGACCGAAATGACCTTAAACACCCAGCAGGGACAAGAAGTCAACATGACGTCAGATTGACGTTGTACCCTAACGTCCTGGGTACAGTACGTTGCATTTTGTTTAGAAATGAAAATCGGGTTGACAGAACTCAACGTCAGACCAACGTCAATGTCCAACGTAAAACCAACCAAATATCAACGTCTTATGATGTCTCAGCTTGAAGTTGTGTGGACGTTACCACTATGACGTCTATCAGATGTTGGATTTTGGTTGTCATACCTGATGAATAAATGTCAGTATTTGACGTCAATATGATGTTGGTTTAAGATGTTGGCTCAACGTTGGATTTTGGTCACTTTCTAACAACCTAAATCAACCAAATATCAACGTCATTTGATGTCTTTATTGGACATCAAAATAACATTGTCCTTAGATGCCGACTAGCCATTGAATTTTGGTCATCTGACAACACAACCTAAATCTGACCTAATATTAATGTCTTATGGCGTTGTGTGGCTGCTGGGCAATAACTCACTACAATGCACTACAGAATGTTACGTTGACACACACATGTACAAATTACATGTAAACGCATCAGCTTTATACAGCGTAATACTCACTACTCCAGTACTTTTGAAAGGTCTACTTTTTACTCATACTCTGAGTAATATTTACAGCAGATACCTTTGCTCTACTTGCACTACATTTTTAGGCAAGTAGTGGTACTTTTACTTAAGTATGATTTTTCAGTACTCTTTCCACCACTGGTTATTACTGAGCAACAAAAATTTATTAATTTGCCATAGTCATAAGATGAGTTCAAATCTTTACTTTAAAAATAGCTATGCAAAATCATGAAAAAAAGGTAGAAACCTCAAAATATTTATGGCAAAAGATTACATTCAATCCACATTTTGTAATATATAAAATGCAATATGCTATATAAAATGTTTTAAAAATAAAGACACTCTGATGCAGTTGTATTGCAAATCGTATACTTCTGTATTGCCCATACCACTTATGAATATGACATCTAATTCATACATATAATTTAGATTACTCAAAGCCATAGCTTAATACAAGTAACAAAAAGGGAAGCCTTTATATGGTCACCAGTGGAGCCTGAACGACATTTGGTGGTAATGTTTGGTACTGCACCCTTTTGATCCATCAACTTCAAATTTTAAATCCAACTTTTGTTCAAATATATATTTACTAGGCATTTTGGAGTAAAACATGTTTTGTAAAATATATTTTTTACAATATATATATATATATATATATATATATATATATATATATATATATATATATATATATATATATATATATATATATATATATACATATACATATTATTGTATAAAAATTCTAAAATTGACATTTGAAGAGTTTAGTTGCAAAACCTAAAAATGCCATTTGATATTTTCTTGTAAAATTTGCATTTTTCTACAACTGTGTGTGTGTGTGTAGGCTCAGTAATTTCAGTAATCTTACTGCTGAGAAAAATGCTCATTTTAGGAAATTTTTTTCGACATTTAGAGGTTTTTGTATCTGAACTTGTTTATTTATTTATCTATTTATTCTTTAAATGTATCATAAAATCAACTAAAGTTCAAAGATGAGGCTTTGTTTCATAATAAAAGTTATAAAGCTTCTTAAAATCCAAACTGTAATTCAGAACATTCAAGATTTATAATTTAATTTGAACATTTTCAGGTCTATGCTAAAAAAGTGTGACTGAAGGTTAATATTTTTCACAAGCTAGAAAGCATCACATTAATCAAAAGTGACAGTGAAAATTGTACTTGCAATAAAAATAACAGAGGTGTTCTTCTGAACTTTTTAAAAATTCAGAAAATAATTACATAAATATTAATAAAAAAATTGGCCATATGCTGTAAGCTCTCTATATTAAGCAAAAAATTAAAATAATAAAAACAATTGTTCACAAAAAAATCTTAATAAAAAAAGTTTCAAACATTAAATTATATGTAAAAATATTTAAATAAATGTAAATGTGAATTCTTCCATACTTTGATCAAACAAACACAACCAACAGAGCAAAGCAAATTTCATTCAAAATAAAAAACAAAACAAAAAAAACACTGACCTCGTTGGCTTTGGACTTGGTTTCATCCAGAGTCTGTATGAGCTCAACATTATCCAGCATGTTTCCAGTAGAGGTGGCCAGCTCTCTCAGCAGTGAGTCCTCCAGATCTTTCAGCAAGCGTTTGTTCTCACTAGTCTCTAGAATAAGCCTTTCTCTTTGCTCCTCCAGCTCCTTTCGCTCAAATCCTACAATAACACTCAGCAGCTGATCTTCCAATCCCTTCAGGGTAACTAAAAACAAAAAAATTAAACAAAAAAATCTGTAAAATCCCAAATTAAATGCATATTAACACTAAAGTCAGAAAAAAATCGAAGTGTGTTATTTAAAAACAAATAACAGTTTTTAAATTTAGTGTGATAAATTCCGATTGTTGTACAGTTCTTACATCAATACTTGCTGTTAATAAGCATCAACTGGTGTATACTGCATAGTGTTTGCTCTCACCGGTGTAATTGATAACCATAGCCTTCCCAAATACTGCAGGTAAGAACTTTGGGTTTGCAAGTTTGGTATTGAGGTAAAGTTTGAAGTTGGGATCGTAGTCAACTTCCTTATCACCAAGTACGACAACCTGGCGCCCCTCTGCCCCTTTTATATTCTTCTCAAGAACGTTGTCAATTACGGGATCGATATATTCATCCACATCTTGGAAGAGGAAGGGGAATCCATACTTAATAGCCAACTCCAACCCCTTCAAGAAGTCTGGATCATTGAATGATGAGATCTGCAAAACCGATTACAGATGAGCAAGACTGATTACAACACTCTGGAGTGGATAATGTTGGCGGACTGATGAAATGGAACAAGGTTAAACCTTCAGATTGTTCTTCTCCTCCTTTTTTTTGACCCAGTTAAGCGCTTGCTGCTGGGGGTCAATGCACAAGGGGAAGCGGCTAGATCTGGTAGTCAGGATGCCGTTCTGCACTGAGAGCTCATCTGGAGGGAGACCTTCAGATCCCCATCTACGAGAATTTTTGTTCCTCCGTAAATGCAGTTATATACAGTAACATTAAATGTTCCACAGATGGGTTGATGTCTCACCTGCTGATCTCCACCTCATCAGTGAGCAGGTTTTCTATTCGGAAAGGCTGGCTCAGAGGAATGCCTCTTTCCAGGACGTCTGCCTGCCATACCTTATACACCATTTCGTTACGGAAGTCCCAGCTGAAGGCTCCTTCATAGCTGAGGAAGGCAGCGCAGATTAGACAGTCTCCCAGAAGACGCACTCGCCGCTGCTTCAGCTCCTCCAGGTCCTTTATCCAGCTACATATTGACAGAAACACAGTGTAGAACCAAATTTTGTGAAATTGTTAGTAAAGATGTTTGATTTGTTTCAAATGTTAGTCAGACAAAAAGTGATTAAAAATGAGTGAGTGTGGAGGAAATGTACACCTGCAGAACAACTGAACAAAATAAGAGAAGCTGATCTGTCAAAATTACCTAACAGTGATAGATTACTGCCGTACACTGAAGCCATTAAAAAAAAATAGCATGGCATTTTGTAACTGGCTAAAAACTATTATTAAATATTTATTATCATAGGTATGGCCTATTTCTTATTTATTTTTTGCATTTGTAATCCTGATGACAGTCATAAGTTTATGTTTGTTTGTTTGTTTGTTTGTATACTTTATCGTCCCTTAAGGGGAAATTTTCTGTGGACTCACAGAGCACTTCAGCAAGTTCTGACACAATAAAAATGATAAAATAAGCAAATATGCAAAAGAATAACATACAAGAAAAACATAAGCAAACTATCGATCATTTTATGATCTTTTGCCAGACGGAGATGGACTGTTCTGAATTTTTTTCACAGTGCATTGCTCGTAGAGTGTTTGAATGCTGGTGAAGGTTTCTGATCCTATTAGTTTTATAGCAATTCTGATAATAGAAAAAAAAGTATTTCAGATTTACAGAAAGATTGCCACCATAACTTAGATGTTTTAAAATTGAGAAGTACACATCATTTGAAATGGAATAAATACGTTTTCCATTAGGATATGGTTTGTTAGGATAGAACAAGGTTTGCATGAGATACAAGTAGTTGAAACACTGGAATCTGAAGATTCAAAAAATGTTAACATTAAGAAATTCACCTTTAAAGTTGAACAAATTGTATTTTTTAATGGATATTACTAATGATTTTTTTAAATTATTTACAGAGGACAATTTAAAATATATATATTAATAGATCATGATGTTTACATTATTCTTATGATTTTCAGCATAAAGGAAAAATGTATATTTTTAACCCATAAGGGTGTCAAACTCAATTCCTGGAGGAAAAGTCTAAACTTCGCCAGAATAGGCCAAAACTAGTCAAGTATAAACAGATAAACAAAAATGAATGACTACACATATTGGATGACTAGTCTAGTTTTGGGCTATTCTTAGATGTCTATTAGTTAAGTTTAGCCTTGTTTTAAGCTGTCTACTGTATGTTTACGTTTATTAGACATCTATTAAACACTAAAATGTTTACTGAGAAGCCTAAAGCAATTAATTTGATCATGTGTGTTTAATTAGGGTTGGAACTAAACTGTGCAGAGCTGCGGCCCACCAGAAATGGAGTTTGACACCTGTGCCATACAGGCTTACATTTTTTTTGCTATTACCAGAAACATACCTGTTTAGCATAAGACTAGTTTTGTGGTTTAGTGTCACACTTTTGATTAAGTAAGGGATTAAGCTAATTATAAAAGAGTGTCACCGTATTAACGAATGATTGGATTTCATGAACATACTGTACACATGTTTAACAATCACACTGCAAAAAATGCTTTTCTTACTTAGATTTGTTTGTTTTGTTTGTAGTCCAAATATCTAAAAATTTCTAAATCAAGAATAATTTTCTAGACATGCAAAACATATTCTCTTGTTTTGAGAAATACTATGCCAATATTAAGTGAATTTTTTTCTTAAAACAAGCAAAATAATCTGCCAATGGGGTAAGCAAAATAATCTTACGTCTAAAGAAAACACAAGATTAATTTGCTTACCCCTTATACTCACTATTTATTCCTATATTTAAAAATTGTACATAGTATGGTAAAAAAAATTATGTCATTTAGCTTTGAGAAAACAGTTCAATGATGAGAGGAAGCTGACCGCTTGTTCTCTGATGCCAGGCCTGAGATGAGTTTGTCTGCAGCAACGAGTCTTCTCTCCATGACCTCGGCCTCCTCCTGCAGGAGTTGTTTCTCTGTCATGGCTCCCTCATATTTGTCTCCAAGAGCTCTGAGTTCTTTCTGGATGGCGCCAAGCTCATTTTGGATTCGTTCAAGCTCACGTTTGCTCTGGTGGAAATTCCTCTCCAGACGTGCCACCTTTAAATGTCATTTTGTTACTTAATTTCGGTTCAACTTGTGAAATGGGAAAACTGAATTCATGCATTTATAATATCATTTAAAGGTTCAGTAAAATCAATGAAATTAGTGTTTAACTTCTGTCGTTAATTTAAAGACGGATATATTCCTGGGAAAATGGAGAAAATGGGTTGAATATATTTCATTCAGAACACCAGATTTTGTTGCTATAAACAAATAGAAGATGCTTGACTGAGAGATAAAAATATGTTGATGTGTGTATTTGTATATGGTTATACATATATTCATATTGTATTGTGTGTTATCCCCATGTGTACAATGAAGATGGTCATTTGAGATTATTCTGGAAGGAATTATTTTATGACATGCATTCTTACCCAGGATACCTTTTTAATTTTTATTCTTTTCTTTTTTATGCTATTTTTCTTTTTATAATTTAACAAAATTTGAGAACTATGTATAGTTAGTAAACCTGACAATGATTGAACTTAATTAAGTGTTTACAATAAACAAAGTAAATAAGAAGAAATTCGTTTTTAGTGTGTGATACAGTATATTTGATATCAAAATATTTTATAAACAAAATCAAGGCGGCACGGTGGCTCAGTGGTTAGCAGCACTGTCATCTTACAACAAGAAGGTCACTGGTTTGGTTAATTTTGTTTTTATTTATTTTAAAACAGAATTTATAGTTAATATGCCATGAATTTATAGAAGCCATTGCTTCAGTTATCAGTGTGGCGAGATCCTTCAGATAAAGGTTTTGAATGTTGATTTGGGGATTATTATCTTTTATAATTGGTGCTCAATTATTAATAATAGTTATTCCCTATTGTTAATGTTTAACTTCTCAAAAACTGATGTTTTTCACAATTCTTTGATTAATAGAAAGTAAAAAAAATAACATTTATTAAAAACAGAATTAACATTATCAATGCATATCTAACATTATCAATAATGCATCTTTGCTGAACAAAAAAGTATTATTTTCTTTCTTTCTTTATTCAACCAGAAACAAACTGTTTGTGGACTAGATCTGCATTAAAAAGACTTCTGAAGGATCTAAGACAGAAGCTTTGCCATCAAAAGAATAAATTAAATGTTAAAATATATTAAAATACCATGCAGTTCTAATAATATTTCATAATACTTCATATTTCTATGATTTTACTATATTTACTATATCTGGTCATTAATGCAAACATGCAGACAACTTGATTCTTTTGAAAACAATTTTAAAAAATTCCAACATTTTGATCAGTGATGTAGAAATGAACCAATTATAGGATATCAGACCTTTTCTCTTTTAGGTTTGATGTCTCTGGCCACTTCACAGTAGCCCATGACTGCCTCCACGAACCTTAGCATCCCAGACCCAGCTTTACTGATGCCTTGCATCTCCTCCAAACTGGTGTTGAGGTTTCTTAGATAGGCTAGGCAAATGACAACCATATTTTTGTCAGCAAATTTACAAATAAATACATCTTAAATTATTTCAATGCATTGAGTAGCATCAAGAAGACAAGTATAAAGATAGTGGTTTACCTTTGACATGTTTTACTTGATTGGCGTTGATAGAGTCACAGTCCATTTCCATAAGCGAGCGCAGGAAGTTGCCCTCTGACATCATGCCCTTGGCTGTCTTCCAGTTGATCTCTTTATAGCCCCGAATGACAAGGATGCACTCGCACACAGTCTGCACCTGTTTAGGTGGTTTGGTGAAGGATCTACAGCACCACAAATGAGAAAGAGAAAAGAGATACAGTTGAAGTCAAAATTAGAAGCCCTTCTGTAAATTTGTCCTTTTTCAAACATTTCCCAAAAGATATTTCACAGAGCAAGGATTTTTTTTCACAGTATTTCATATAATTCAGGTTAAAAATTCAGGAGGGCTAATAATTCTGACTTTAACTGTACATACAGGGCATTTACCCTGAAATGAATAAGAATGTGGAAGCAAATAGACCAGAAGGGTGATTTTCTTTCATTTAAAGACATTTTATTTCTTTTCTCAAGTAAAGCGGCAGTTTGTTCCCCAAAATTAAGTGTGCATTTGAACCAATTTTAACAGAAAACTAAATCAAAATATATTTTGTTTTAGGGTGAATATCCTATGATAATGAAAACAATATAATATGTTGAACAATTTTGCAAAATATTAGTTGAGTCCTGCATATTATTTACAGAACTTTAAATTTAGAATTTGAGCAGTCACCTGATTTCTGTGACATCACTTTTGTCTAGGTCTTGCAGGGCGATGCGAGCGGCCTCTAAAGCAGGAAGAGCTTCAGCTAAAGAGCTCTCAGCATCCTTCTTCTCCACCACTATCACCTTATTCTGCTCCTCTATTTCTTTAGCCTTCTCCTCCGCCAGGGTTTTCTTCTCTTCCGCTGAAAGAGACATCATTTACCATCTGTTGTTTTCAGTTTGTTGTTTAACAGAATTTTTGTTGCTTTCCATGTAACATCCATTATCTTCCCACTTACCCAAATATCAGTGAAATATCAGTGACCTGAATAAAATCCTGATATGAATAACAGGTTTCTTGATGCTTTTGTATGTGGAGTTCTACTAATTGCAGCACGGTGGGGCAGTGGGTAGCATAACCGCCTCACAGCAAGAAGGTCGCTGGTTCCAGCCCCGGCTAGGTTAGTTGGCATTTCTGTATGGAGTTTGCATGTTCTCCCTGTAAGCTAAATTGTCCGTAGTGTGTGTGAATGAGTATGTATTAATGTTTTCTTGGTAATGGGTAGGCCCACACGGAATCTGCGCGTGCAGAATTCTGCAGAATTTCCGCAGATTTTCCGCAGAATTACGCAGATTTCTGCAGATTTTTAGCCCATTATTAATTCTGTTTTTATACTTGAGTAAATGTGTAAATCTGAATTTATTCAGTTTTTATTCAGTAATTTATTACTTTTTATTTAATATATTAAGGGTTTAGTTATGATACTCCGCTGGATACTCCCAAAATAATTCCGCAGAAATCCGCAGATTTTTACCAAAATTCTCCGCAGAAATAGCAAAAAACGTCCGGAGATTCTGTCTGGCCCTGGTAATGGGTTGCAGCTGGAAAGGCATCCGCTGCGTAAAACATATGCTGGATAAGTTGGCGGTTCATTCTGCTGTGGCGACCCCAGATTAATAAAGGGACTAAGCCGAAAAGAAAATGAATGGATGAAGTTCTACTAACCGACAGCGGTGTTAGCGCAGATCTCTTCTAGAAGGATCTCACAGGCTGAAGTCTTCTCTGCCAGCACAACTTTCTGCTCGTCAAGCTTGACGTTGAGCTCTGCTAGCTGCCCACTCGCCTCCTTCAGCTTATCCAAACCCCCTTCGAGGCGTTTATATTGTGCTGGAAAGTACAAACAGGTCAGCGGTGTTTTAGTATTCATTTCATACTATAGTTTTATGAATATTTTTGAATTAGATTGAATTTTAAAGCCATTTTTAAAACCAATAGCCACTTATATGATTTGTAGAAGTTTTTACTCCCTTTTAAACATTCTTCAAAATATTAAGAGAGAAACTCAAACAGTTTTGGAAGCGAGTACATTTTTATTTTTGGGGTGGACTATCTTTTTAAGTTTTTTATCTAATATATCTTATTTTAGTTTTTCTTAATGATAACACTGGCATCCCAACAAGCATTTTTTGTTTTTATAAAAGACGTCTAATAGATGTCTAAACATAGACGTCTTGGCTAAAACGAAGCTAAATTTGGTCTGTCAGTGAAAATCTAATAGATGTCTAAGAACAGGTCAAAACTAGACTAGTCATCAGATAAACAGAAATGAATGACTACACATATAAAGTCTATTTGACGGCTAATCTAGTTTTGAGCAATTCTTAGATGTCTATTAAATTTTTACTGATAGCCCAAGTTTATCCTTGTTTTAGCCAAGCTGTCTTAGACGTCTATTAAACACAAAATTGTTTGCTGGGATATTGCTTGCTATGATTATTGCAAAATCATAGACAAACATTTCCTAAACAGCTCAAGATACTGTAAATGTGCTCTTACCCAGTATGTATTTATCTTTGTCCTCCAGTAGGTTGGAGTAGGTGTTAATGAAGTCCAGGTAGTTTTTAGGGGTGACGTAGTTGCTACGACGTAGAGTTTGCAGGAACAGTTTACTATAGTCGCCTACCGAGCTGTGTACCATGCACACGTGATCAATCACTGCCTCAGAATGGCTCTTTGGGATCATCGGACTCTCACCTGAAATTTGACATGACACAACATTTCATTAATGAGCTTGCACAATGCACAGGATTAGTGATCAATAATAATCATATCTAAAAAGCGCATTAAAACTCACCTAAGAATGACTTGGCCACTGCATATAGAGCCTGAAGAGGCCATGGAGAGAACCAGTCAATGCTTGTGTTATTAACCAACCCTGATGCAGAAAAGTACATATAGAGAACTTATGAATCTGTGAAATCAAAGAAGTTAGAGTAAGACTGAATGTTTTTATTATGCATTGCTCAATAACCTGGGAAATTCCTGCAGCGTGTTCTGAGAGTGTCTCCTACAGGTGACATGGCCAGCACTATATGCAAGTTGTTGGCACTTTTGTTGACAAAATATTGCCATATACTCTCTTTCGAAGGACCACAGCCTGATTTCATAGCTTCATCTCGCAGCTGGTTTAGGACTGATTCCTTCTCATCATCAGCAAACAGTGCTGGAACCATCCCTGATGACAAAAACTGATGTTAGCATATCATTTAAGAGTGCTATAGAATGCATTGATTCAATTTGTTAAACTGTTCTCTGATATCTACGTAGTTTTATCATGTTTGATTTGTTTAAAAGTTCAAACATTCTACAGAAATAGTTTATTGCTCATTTATAATCAGGAATTAACCTAGAATGAAAAGCTTGGTGGTAAGCAGATTTGGAACGATCAAGATTTTATTTTGAAACTTTAACATATATAAAAACACAGGTGGGAAATGTCAACCTCTGCATAAACAAATGTGTTTCATGAATTTAATGGCATTTTACTCAAGAAAAATCACAATAAAAAGCTGAGTGATATATGCATAAACGTACTGTACATTAAACATTTCTACTTAGAAACAATGTACACATTAAACAAGGGATGGGCAAAATTGTCCCATTGGGATATAAACAAAAACAATGGTCCAAACATAGTTCCTGTTTTACATATTTAATTTCTATAGCTTCCGAGAATCTAAAAAGAGCCAAATATTGATAAATAATGTCATGAGAGCTGTTTTACCATTGAGTTATGATTAAATTGCCTATACAATACAATACAATTACAATAGTCTATAGGTTTCTAATGATCTTGAAGACACTGATAACCATGTTCAGGTGTGTTTGATTAGTGTTGGAGCAAAATTCTGCAGGGACACCGGCCCTCCAGGACAAAGTTTGCCCGTCCATGCATTAAAATAACGACAGGTAAATTTCAACAGACCTTATTTCTCTTCAAATATTTACAATTCATATAACCTGCATTTTGGGTACTGACAATCTGTGAATACTCTGTGATCATGCATGGCTGCCTGCTTTACAAAACTACTATTTTTTTAGGATCACATACATCCTGTAGTATGTTTAATACAACAACAGATAAACTAGATAAACTAAGAAAAATGATCAATGTTGTTATCTCACTAGGAAACATTGGGGTCAATAAATGGTGTTTGAGGCTCATGGTATGCCATTGCCATGTACTAAACTCTTATTATTCAGCTGTGCCTATGTACACTCACTGGCCACTTTATTAGGTACATCTTACTAGTACCAGGTTAAACCCCCTTTTGCCTTCAGAACTGCCTTAATCCTTCGTGGCATAGATTCAACAAGGTACTGGAAATATTCCTCAGAGATTTTGGTCCATATTGACATGATGGCATCACGCAGTTACTGCAGATTTGTCCACTGCACATCCATGATGCGAATCTCCCGTTCCACCACACCCCAAAGGTGCACTATTGGTTTGAGATCTGGTGACTGTGGAGGTCATTTGAGTACAGTGAACCCACTGTCATGTTCAGGAAACCAGTCTGAGATGATTCATGCTTTATAACATGGAGCGTTATCTGCTGGAAGCAGCCATCAGAAGATGGGTACACTGTGGTCATTAAGGGATGGACATGGTCAGGAACAATACTCAGGTAGGCTTTGGCATTGACAAGATGCTCAATAAGTACTAATGGCCCCAAAGTGTGCCAAGAAAATATCCCTTTCACCATAACATCACCACCAGCAGCCTGAATCGTTGATAAAAGGCAGGATGGATCCATGCTTTCATGTTGTTGATGCCAATTTTCAACCCTTCCATGTGAATGCTGCAGCAGAAATCGAGACCCATTAGAACAGGCGACGTTTTTGAATGTTTTTGAACTGCAGCAGATCATTTTGACCATGTATAGATGCCTAAATGCATTGAGTTGCTGCCATGTGATTGGCTAATTAGAAATTTGCGTTAACAAGCAGTTGGACCTAATAAAGTGGCCGGTGAGTGTATTTCCAGATTTTCATTCTATGGCACCTTTAGATACAGTCCAGTCCAAAGAAGCAGACCTAATTTAAATTAAACCAATTGATTTACACATGTGTTATTTTCATGAACAGTCATTTCAAATACCTGATGTAAGCATGTTGTTGATGAGCTCCAGAAAACCTTCCTCGGCCACATGAGCATCAGTGAACAGGAAAACCATTTTCTTATTCTCTATACCCAGTTTGAGGTACAGAGTTTTCAGATCATCCCGAAAGTTAGTCTCTGAGTATCCTCTACTAAGCACAATTTCAAACACCTTTAGACAAAGAGCTAAAGATTAACATCAAACCAGGTCAGATAAAATATATCAAATGTAAGATGAATTATGACATACATGCAAAATATGCATTGAGAAACATAACCTTCATACCTCATAACCTGCAGTGAAGGCAGCCAGCTTTGTAAGAGACTGTTTCCCTGAACCACCTACACCAACCAGCAATGCATGACCTCGATCCATTCTAATAATGCGATGAATGACAGTCAGGTGTTCAAGTGCATCATCGAACAGCACTAAGTTCATTTTTGTCTTATTTTCATTATACTCCTCCAGGATTTCCTACATGAGTCAGAGGAAGAACAGATGGCATTAATGTGCCATAATGTAAATATACAGTAAGTGGAGCAAATAAGACCCCCATGCACCTGAAACAGAGCTTTGGATGCATCATAGTCCAGTATATCCTCATAAACCCTTGGCTCAGATTTAAGAGCTGTTCTATAATCGCCAAACAGAATTGGATCTCTCATGGCTGAATCCAGGTCTGATTTGAAGTGTTCTTCAACCAGATTCTTTACATGTCCTTGGACCTGAGTGTTAATCGAGAAGACAATACCTAGTCCATAGTAACATTATTAAGAGCCCTAGGTTTACAGGAAGCAAGCATACCATGATTTTGTCAGTTTCATTGATAAGTCTGTCATGAAAGACCCTTAAACATTCATTCCTCCAAACACGAACAAACTGGGTGACTGTGCAGAACCTGGGAACAAAATAAGAGATAGATACACTACATGATAGATACAATATAGAAAAAACAGGTGTAGAGTATTGCATATGCTATTGTCATGATTGCCAGCGATCTAGCCCTTAGGGATCGGACAACATTCACAGTCACCTGAACTACACATCTGCCAGTGAAATGAATTACAGCTTTCAACTCGCACCTCACACACAGCAGTTCTGGGTTACCAATGATTGCACACACAGCTGAAGCTCGTAAGGACTAATGACCAGAACTATTTATATACCTAACAGTCACATACACTTAGCTGAGTCTTGTTTTTGTGGGTAGCACAATCGCCTCACAGCAAGAAGGTTGCTGGGTCAGTTGGTGTTTCTGTGTGGAGTTTGCATGTTCTTCCCGTGTTCGCGTGGGTTTCCTACGGGTGCTTCGGTTTCCCCCACAAGTCCAAAAACATGTGGTACAGGTGAATTGGCTAAGCTAAATTGTCTGTAGTGTATGTGTGTGAATGAGTGTGCGTGGATGTTTCCCATTGATGCGTTGCAGCTGAAAAGGCATCCGCTGTGTAAAACATATGCTGGAAAAGTTGGCGGTTCATTCCGCTGTGGCGACCCCAGATTAATAAAGAGACTAAGCCAAAAAGAAAATGAATGAATGACTTCACAGTCAAGTGTTCTATTGGCTAGCGGTATTTTCTGACCCTGGTTTTGTTCTACATTTATGTTGTTTTGTCTCCTGTATTGACCTCTTTGCCTGTGACCATGACAATGCTTTTGAATTACTCTATAGTTTGCTCCTGTTTTGACTACTGCCTGTCTGACTCTTGATTTAACAAACTGCATTTGGAGCCTCACCTCTGTGGTCACCCTGACTCTCAGCTGTAGAGTGGTACAGAGCAGTGTTTTGTTTTTTCAGGAAGAAATAAATAATTTCAGTTCAGGTATAGATTATTGATTCTATTGCATTATTAAAGTTTGTTTCAATATATAAATTGTAATGCTTAAAGAAATAGTTCACCCAAAAACAAAACTTTCCTCACGTTACTCACACTCAAGTGGTTCTAAACAATTATGATTTATTTCTTCTGTCAGACACAAAACAAGATTTTAAAGAATGTTGGGAAAAAGCAGCCACCACAGAAGTGAATGGCTGTGTTCAACAGAAGAAAGAAATGCAAACAGGTTTAAAACAAGTAGAGGATGAGTAAATGATGATTTTGGGGTAAATTATCACTTTATAATAATAACGTATTAAATTGAATTGCAAAATGTAACACAAATTAAAATAGTTTTTAAGGAAATCTGAGATTTTGGTCCCCCCTTTATTGAGAGTCTATTAACCCAAAACTCTTAGCATTTAAAGAGGACTTATTATTCAGAAATCCCTTTTTAGTGGCTTTAAACAGTGTGTGAATATAGCCAGCCCCTAATTGTAAAAATGAAATAATTATATAATTTGTAATCACACTTTGACATAGCCCTTTGTAAATGTCATCAGAGAGAAATTGCACCTCCCATTAGTGACGATCTCTCCCTCATTATCATAGACAGCTGAGTGAGAAGCAGCTGTCCACCAGTTTTCACATTGTACCTGCTGAAGATAATGTCAGTGACTAAGAGGCATTTTAAATATGGAGTTTTAACCTACACAAAAAACATTGTAGTCTCCATAAAAAAACCTTCTTCTGAGTCACTTGAAGTCAAAGGGAGTCCTGTTTTAAATTTGCTACTATGCTGATACATAAACATTTATAGCTCCACCCTCTTTTGAAAAGAGCAGTCATTCATTCATTTTCTTTCTGCTGAATCCCTTTATTAATCAGGGGTTGCCACCGTGGAATGAACCGCCAACTTATCCAGCTTATGTTTTACATAATGGATGCCCTTCCAGCTGCAACCCAGTACTAGGAAACATCCATACACACTCATTAGCACAATCTTTTGAATTGAATAGTTTCAATTTAAAGCGACAGTCACCAAAATGGCATAATTAAAAAAAACATTAAGGGGTCAGTTTCAAAGAGTTAAAAAAATGTTTGGGTTTGTCACAGTTTTAAATAATAGGTCCCCTTTAAAACATCCCGAAGAAATAAAATAATAATAATCTATAAGTCTAACCAAAGGTGAACAGACTGTCAAAGGAGAGATAGACTTCTGTCAGATCTGTCACTCTTCATTACAATTATCTTCATTTATGTTCTGAAGGTGAACAAGAGTCAATGTTATATAGAATTGTATGATTTAAAAAAATGTTGACAGAAATTTAGGTTCAACTATGCCTTTGAAAACCCCATTGGAATCCCCTTTGTACACATCATATTAAACATAAGGGTATTAGCCCTTTCTAAATCTTAATGATGAAACTGCAAACCTCTCAGGGTTGGTCAGCGTCAGGCCATGGTAGACTCTGGAGAGATCTCTCAGGTTAAAGATGTAGTGGAACTTGGAAGGTGTTGGCGGTAAATCCTTAATTATGGTTTTGTACAGCTCCAGAGTGCAAAACGTCAGCTTGTCACAGATGTTTCGGATGCACTCCTCAAAGGGCTATAAAATAAAATAGACATAATTCTGATTTAAAAATCATAAAATAGAATCAAGATAAATATTTATACGAAAATCTAAATTATAAACACAACATGAGAAAATAATTGCAATGAAGAAATATCTCATTCCATCAGTGCAGCCCTACAATAGACACCTATATTTAATATTTGACTTCATGTCAGCACATCCCATCATTTTTTAATCAAGAAGCTGAAATATCTCTTGCACCTTGGTGTGTCCTCTTAGAATAGAAGAGTAGATGAGATGTAGGGATTCCTCCTCAGGGAAGGGGATGTTGAACACACTGAAAAGAGAGATGAATCGTGGGTCCACTTCATTCCTACCACCGCCTGCCTTCCCCATGGCTGCAATGAAGCCCAGGTCCTTTATGAGTTTATAGTTGAGTTCTTTTCCTCGGTCATACATGCCACCCCTGTCCAACAGAAGCTTGAGGAGAGCTATAGGTTGTTGAGTTCCATATTCATCCACCTGAGAACAAACAAATGTGAATCCATTATGAGCAGTGTTGTAAAACTGATTTGAGAGATGATGTACAGTATAAACACAGTGTTACCCTTGGCATGTTGAGGTCATCCATAAAGACAAGGAGCCTTTTGCCCATAGGAGGACCAAACGTGTCCTTGGTTCTCTTTTCAACATTTGCCTCCAGAGTCCTCTGCAGGTCCATAGAGGTTGTTCTTGATGAGAAATTGATGGTCATCATTATCTGGGAAAAGGTGAGACTTATTATACTAATTTGTTATATTATATTCATTATTGTAGTTTATTATATTTTACTTATAATGATGCTGTTAATTAAGGCAAAAAAAAAATGTTTAAAATAAAAACAATCGGTTTTCACTGAATTTCCCCAGTTGATTGATTACACAATTGATTGACATTTTTGTATTACAAGATTATGTTTTATTATGCAGATTATGTTATATTATGCAGATTATCTTTTATTATGTAAAATAAATGCTAATTCGCATACACTTCTAGCACAAAGCATTGGATACATTAACATTTATAATTCTGGTATGATTTTTTTAATTATTTGTACATATTTGAGTGAAAAGCTTTTACAAAAGGGATTTTCGTAACCTGTTTGATCACTTTTTATTTTTATCACACAGAAAATAGAGCGAAAAGCCTGAAAAAAATAAAGATAACTTTTTGTTGAATAAAATGTTGTATATAATGAGCCAAATTATGCATGAACACATCCCTCTGTAAAAAAAAAAAGGAAAAAAAAAAAAACTTCTGTATACATACAGTATATGAACAAAACTGTGAAGTTTGATTTATGTATAGTAAGTGCTGCTGAAGATTTTTGGCTCAGTGCAGGGCACATTTTAAGAAGAATGTATTGTAAATTAAAATCTACAAACAAAAACAGCAACACATGTAAAAGTGTATTCTAATATCCCATCCCTTAAATATAAAATGTCAAAGTTTTGCCATCAAAAAGACGTTTTAAGCAACCTCAAGCAAAAAAAACATATGCATCAAATGTCATTTGTGCCGAGTGCCATTAGAATTTAATTTATTTAAATTAAATACTGGGTTTTAAGTATGAATAGAGTTATTTTAACGTGATTTATGTAATTAAATTAACAGTACAGTAGTAAGGTAAAGTAATAATGAATTTATATATAAAGTTAAAGTCAAAATTATTAGCCCTCCTGAATTATCACACCCCCACACGCCCATTAATTTTGACCTTAAAATGGCATTTTAAAAAATCAAAAACTTTTTTTTTACTTGTCGAAATAAAACTAATATGACTTTTTCCAGAAGAAAAAAATATTATCAGACACACTGTGAACATTTCCTTGCTCTGTTAAACAAAATTTGGGAATATTTAAAAAAGAAAAAAAAAATGTAAAGGGGGGCTAATAACTCTAACTTCAACTGTAGATACACACATGCATACATTATTATATATATCTTATTTAGTGTATAATTATGTTTTTTCTAATACTCTCTTGTTTGATGAATTTAACTCATCTGTAATGGTTAAACAAAAATGTTCTATATTATTTATATTGTATTTACAGAGTTATTATTTTCTGTCTGACCTAAGATGAACATAATACAAAAAAGAACATAAAAGTGTATTTTAGATATTTCCTTTTAAGTTAGACTGACAAAATAAAAGAAAAAAGCCCCCAAAAAAGCTCAAATAAACTACAAATAAGCTACAAAAAACTGACAGGTGCCCGCAAAGTTTAAATAGACTTTACAGCAAACAGTGGACGTACAGTCGTGTCTGTATTGAGATTACTCAGGAAATTCTGTATGGTGGCTGTTTTAGAGGTGCCGGACTCTCCAACCAGAACCACTGGCCTTTTTACTTTCACCATCTGCTCCAGCAGCCAATTAGCACGAGTCGTGTCTACTGTCGGGACTGAGAAAGACAAATGGTTAAAATGAGCTTTCATCAGTAAAGATAAAGAACTAAACAAGTACAAAGGAGGTAAAAAAAGGTCAGAGAAAATAAAGCAAAAAGAGGACTGCTTTACCAAGGATGTCGATGAATTTCATTTCAGGATTGTGAATGTATTTTGAGACCATGGAGCTCCAGGGAACCCACTTCTTTTGGGTTCCATCAAAATGAAAATCATAGAGAGTCGGCAAGTAAACTGCAAAATTAAACAAAAGATTTTAAATAGAATTTAAAAATTTAAAAATAAGAATTTTTGTTAACAACAACAAAATAAGGATAATATGTAACTATTATGCAGTAATAATAATGTTTTTAAATTATTTTTATTTAAAGTTTGTTGTCTGCTATTTAGCAGTATTTTACTGTCTTTAAGTAACTATTGTGGGCGACGCAGTGGCGCAGTAGGTAGTGCTGTCGCCCCACAGCAAGAAGCTTGCTGGTTCGAGCCTCGACTGGGTCAGATGGCATTTCTGTGTGGAGTTTGCATGTTCTCCCTCCGTTCGAGTGGGTTTCCTCCAGGGGGTTCCGGTTTCCCACACAGTCCAAAGACATGCAAAACATGTCGCAGGAGGTATATTTTTTTCCTGTTCTTCTCGTGTAAATTAACCAGAGGCTGCTGTCAATTGAATGAATGGCCAACTACCTGAAGGACTAATACCTGCACCCACCCCCTTCCCTAAACCCAGTCAAAAGTGTTTTTAAAAGCAATCCAAATAAAGAAAAGCCACCAAATTTTTACCATGTTTTCAGATCTTACCACATTCTCAACCTGTTATTTACTTGTTTATTTTACTTTATGTTTTATCTGCTTTCTAGAACTGTTCTTCGCCAGACTCGAACCCCATTGACAGTCAACTGCACTCTGCATCTTAAGGACGTACTCACACTATGTACAGTTGCCTTGAACCGGGCCAAAGCATGCTTGTCCCCCCTCCCGTCTCCCTCGACGGCCCGCACTCACATTACATTTGGGCCTGAGCACGCTTACATCATCAATGATGCGCTGTTCAGTAGAGAAGCGCTATTGCTCAGCACAGTGAAGATTTCTCTAGTTATAATGTTATAGTCGTTTAGGATGCAGTGACATACATTTAAATATTTCGCCAAACAGATTCGCCACTTTTGACAGTCATAAACAGTCATAAAGTCCTCATGCTGCAGGAATTAGTAGGTTTGGTGAAAACGCAGCTGTCGTGCAGTGAGGGGTTTGTGTCTTTAATAATCTACGACAGTTTGTATTCATTGAACGGCAAAAATGACTAATAAATCCATATGAAACAGTCCCTTAAAAGTCACGTCTTGCTTTCAATTTCAAGCTTAGGTGCATTTTGCACTCACACACAAGCGTACCGCGCCAAAGCCCAGGTGAACCGCGACTGAGCCCGATTCAGCGCACTCACACTTCTCAAACGATCCGGGAAACGGGCCTGGGCATGGTTTGGATAGCATAGTGTAAGTAGGCCCTAAATCCGCTGACATATGCGCCAAGCCACTGGGCTAACTGCTAAAGCAGTCCACACAGAGGTAAGCGTAAAAGAAACAGAAGCGGTTGGTGGATTCATACTGCCCCTGTAGTGTGTGTGTGACGCAGTGGCACAGTAGGTAGTGCTGTAGCCTCACAGCAAAAAGGTCGCTCGTTCAAGCCTCGGCTGGGTCAGTTGGCATTTCTGTGTGGAGTTTGCATGTTCTCCCTGTGTTCGCGTGGGTTTCCTCTAGGTGCTCCGGTTTCCCCCATGCGGTACAGGTGAATTGGGAAGGCTAAATTGTCTGTAGTGTATGAGTGTGAGTGAGTGTGTGTGGATGTTTTCCAGAGATGGGTTAGGGCTGGAAGGGTATCCGCTGCGTACTAATGTGCTGGATAAGTTGGCGGTTCATTCCGCTGTGACGACCCTGGATTAATAAAGGGACTACGCCGAAAAGAAAATGAATGAACGATTGATAAATTGTTTTTTTTTTTTATAATTTCAAATTATATTTGTTGTCATTTTTATTATTCATAAGACTATTTATTTTTTAGTCATTTTAATTTTTGATTAAATGAAAATGAAAAATAATGAAAATAAAAAATAATTAATTGGCAACTAACAGAAATAAAGTGCATAGAAATGTGTATATATAAAATACAATAAAAAAAATGATAAAATAAATATGTTATATACACACACATTTTAAAAATATGTAGTTTTTTTTCACAAAAATGACCTGTTTTTGTGACTTTAGTTCACTATAACCTTGAACCATACGAGATCCGGTTTTTGTTTGTGTTTTGGAACTATGAAAACTGGCTGATCCTTTGTATAGAGTTAAACAATGACCCGCATTGTTTGACCCACAAGAAAACTACTTATATTCTCTTAGTTCACTACTATTGCCAGGCATTTCAGTACCATTGATTACCATTAAAGCCATTGACCCTGCTCACCTGGAATCTCTCCAGGACCAGCCAGCACCTTCTCATCATGAACACTGTTGAGAGAGGACAGCTTTTTGATAAAAGCATCAAACTTTTGTCTGCCTTTATCGAGGAGTGAAGCCCCCAGTGAACAGTAGAGAGCCTCTAGGAAACAACACTCCAGCTCCTCAAAAAGAAAATCCTCATTCTCCAGCAAAGAATCCACCATAACAGTCAACTGCATCACCTGCAGGAGAAAAACATGTTTGTGTTTCATGAGCAAAAGAGATTATGTACACCGTAGTGTTATTCAGGTGACCCACCTACCATGTTTAAATCCGTCTGCAGGATTACAGTCTTTAGCTTCTCTGTCTGTTTACCATCAACCACACCATCCACTATCATATCAATGGCACTCGGCACATACTTTTCAAACAGTTTACACAGATCTGCCTTTTCCTGTTAACACAATGAAAGCATGATTAAATATAATCTTGTATATCATACTGTGATTTTTTTTGTACTCTGCCAATGTAGCAGTGGTTATTGTGTTGACACATATCACCAAGTTTACTGTCCTATCATAATAAAGGTAAAAAGATGAATAATAATAATTATAAGTATAGTAAGATGATTTGTAAAATAAAGCTGATCAAAGCTGATTTACAATCATATTTATCACATATTTTGCGTTTAAGTTTATGTTTAAGTTTACTCAAACATATGAATATCATATGAATATGAATATCATGATAAAATTGTCTTGATAATTAAAGAGAACAATAATCCTTTCTCTCCTAACAATTACATATAGAAGAAATAGATGAATAAAAACAAAGAAACGCAATTAAAAATGGCTATTATATTTTATTATATTATATTATATTATATTATATTATATTATATTATATTATATTATATTATATTATATTATATATATTATATTATATTATATTATATTATATTATATTATATTATATTATATTATATCATATTATATCATATTACATTATATTATATTATATTATATTATATTATATCATATGATATTACATTACATTACATTACATTACATTATATCATATCACATCACATCACATCACATCACATCATATCATATTATATTATATTATATTATATTATATTATATTATATTATATTATATTATATTATATTATATTATATTATATTATATTATATTATATTATATTATATTATATTATTAATTTGAACCTTTTTATTTGTTTTTCAAGGCTGTCAAAATGCAACAAACAAAAAATCAGCCTTTATAAATTTGCTGTTAATGTTTAGGTCTCAGTTAAGGTAAGCACAGAAAAGGTCTTACTTTGGGGGCTCTGCTGTTGACCCATTTTTCCCAGTAGGGAGCATAGCGAAGGTTTTTAGGGTCCACAAACACCATTCCACAGCGAGAGACAGTAGCCGGAGAGGCGTATTGCAAATCTCCAACCTAAAACACAAGACCTTATGTTTGCAAACCTACAACAGCTGACTTCTAGTCAAAATAATTGAAAGGTTGACATGCTACCTCAAAGAGCAGAGCACAGTGACTCTGGAGACGAATTCTTTCTCCATTAGCCAGTGTAAGAAGCTTGTTATCATCCATAACTGAATTCATGTTCTCCACCCAAAGAGCATCCACATCCCCATCAAACAGGATGTACCTGTGAAGTCAAATCAAAGTTCATGGTATAATTGCTTTATATTATGTACCTCGGATATCCACCTTTATCCACCTCATGTGGCCCACAATGCCTTACATGAAATAAGGGAAAAACTTCTGTTAAACTGTAAACTATCAGTGTAGTGTTTTTTTAAAGTGCTCAGTAAGTTGTCATTATTCTCCTCACAGTTTATCCATCCAATAATAAATGAGAACTTCTAAGAATTAGCAAATCACTATCAGCAGGCATATATTGAGTATCAGTTTACTGTAGGGAATACAAAAAGAAAATAATCTGGAGGAACAAATCAAGGTGAACTCCAATTGCCCAGAGATGTCCTTGTGATAAAAATGTCAAGCCAAACATATCTCTCACTTTTCATGTATGAGTTTTAATTATGTACAGTTGAAGTCAGTGTTAACCCCCTGAATTATCAGCCCCTCCTTTTATTTTTTCCCCATTTTCTGTTTAACGGAGAGCAGATTTTTCCAACACATTTCCAAACATAATAGTTTTAATAACTCATCTCTAATAACTGATTTATTTGATCTTTGTCATGATGACAGTAAATATTATTTGACTAGATATTTTTCAAGACACTTCAATACAGCTTAAAGTGACATTTAAAGTGACATTTAACTAGGTTAATTAGGTTAACTAGGCAAGTTAGGGTAATTAGGCAAGTTATTGTATAACGATGGCTTGTTCTGTAGACTATCAAAAAAGTATATAACTTAAAGGGGCTAATAATTTTAATCTTAAAATATATATTTTTTTGAATTAAAAACATCTTTAATTCTAGCCAAAACAAAACAAACAAGACTTTCTCCAGGAGAAAAAATATTATCAGACATACTGTGAAAATGTCCTTGCTCTATTAGACATAATTTGGGAAATATTTAAAAAAGAAAAAAAATTCAAAAAGTTGCTTATGATTCTGACTTGAACTGTATATGGATTATTGGTGGATTAAATAAACTGAAGTTATTTAAAATGTAAGTGCAAACAGCAGGAGACACATGTGGAATGGTGGATAAAGAGATGTAGAAGAATTCTTTTTTTTTATAAGCCATAAGTTTCACCTTCTTTCTTTTTTATCGGTGGGTTTATTGATGTCACGAAATATGTTCGATAATATTCCATCAGTCCAGTCTCGGGTGACCGGATCCAGGATCCCATATAGCTCAATGACACTCATTGCTTTAGGGTTCAGGCTGTACAATTTGGTCAGCAGTCCCAACCTAAAGATAGAATTTAGCAGTTATATGTATTGGCCTGAAAAACATATTGTTAAAGTAATGCAGTTGTAAAAAAATAATGCATTACAAATGCTCAAATGACTGTAATTGAGTAGTTTTTCCTCAGGAACTGTCCTTTACTAAGTTTTAAAAAAAATTTACTTGATTATATTTTTACTGCTGCATCTTTACTTTTACTGCGTTACTTTCCTTCAACTTGCAGTCACCACTTTATATGCTTATTTTTTCATTACATTGATTGTTTAAGTAGAATAATCAGTCCTGTGATTCCTGTTCAATCAGTACACAGTGATAAATCACATCAGACAGACTGACTTCAGTGTGGAAACTCATTTAAAGTGAATGAAATCACCAAATGGCCTTAAACAACAACTAAATGCACTATAGAATGTTGCGTTTTCAAATGCATGCACAAATTACATGTATTCTATCAGTGTTGCGCAAGCTTGGTTTGCAGTGCCTACTGCTAGACACTCGTAACCTGTTAGTCAAGTTTCCAAAGTGTATCATAAGAATTAACATACTGTCACAGCTCAATTTTTGCCTCTAATTTTATTCGATTTTTTGGTTACACAGGTTTTGCTCTGCATATAAATGCATCAACCTGCTTTCTGTTGGCTTATTATAGATGCATATACTAATGTAATGTGTTCATACATTAAATTAATCTTAAATTTTACATTTATAGTCCATGAATAGTATATAAATTATACCTTGCACTTAGAAACACACTTAAAAGAAAATGTCACTGATGTACGCTGCAATTTTAATTGGCAGGGTATGAGGTGGAATAATCGCAGTGTAATATTCACTAATTGAGTACTTTCACTTTTAGGATTTAAATCAAATACTTTTACTCTGCTTGCATTGCATTTTTGACACGCAATGGTACGTTTAATTGAGCATATTATTTTCAGGACTCATTTTATCAATGATTATTACTTATGAGCAGACAAAAGACCTGGTCTGTGATTGGCAGAGTGTGTTGATCACCACAGATTTCCCTCCTCCTGTGGGTCCGACAACCATGGTTGTGTGTCTGGTCATCATAGTTTCATACATTTGCACCACTTTGTCCACCTACATTCAAAAATCAGTTATCAATTCAATCAAACTTTCAATAGTTGCAGTTCTTTGAGAATAAGTTTTGAAGGGAAGAATCACCTGACTGGGCATCATGATATACCTATTTTCCTCCAGGATGGCCTCTACAGCATCATTGAAGCTGGGATAACGCACACGTGGACAGTCGAGTCCAGGAAACAGATCTGAGATGAGGCCCAAAAACAGAGGAACATCCTCAAATACAAACTTGGGTAGGTTCATGTCTCGAAGAGCTCTCATCAGAACCACATCCTAGTAGGTGTAAAGAAAAAAAAAAGGTAGGGATCAATTTGTGGCTGCAATTTATTAAGGAATGTAAAGGATGATGCAGGGAGATCAGTACCTCACTGAGATTAGGAGAACCTCTCTTCAGCTCCCCTGCCATTACTAACACAGATTTAAGTGCTCTAAGACCAAAGTCGTAGTGTGACTGTTTAGACAGCTGCTCCCGGGCTAGTTTGTACAGCACTGTCATCTTCTTTGCCAAAACCTGCATGTAAACCATTGATGCAATCTATTGTTAACAGTCTGTTGTTTGCTTATTTTCCAATAACAATTAATTCCTTAATAAACTGCTTATAAAATAGGGTTCAGAAACATTTAAAACACAATCCAAAACATTTTAAAAAGAAAAAAATAATAGAACTGAGGGAAAAATTTCATTTGGAAAATAATTAGACCTAAATGAACAGGAAATGGCATGTAATAGTATTTGTTAATATGTTCATCTTTGAAAATTACAATAACTTTCGTGTTTCCCAAGCCTGTTGCTAAAGGCACACCAACACTACACATTTTCAACCTCTTCCAGGGCTCGAAATTGCAACCACTTTGGTCGCATATGCGCCTGAAATTTTATCTATGCGACCTCAAAATATATTTGGGAGCATTTGTGCGAGTGTATAAAAAAGATGTCATGCGACCAGTTTTCACCGCAAAATGGTCATCACATGTGCGGAATTAGGAAGCATTTAAGCATTAGGCATCTTTGCACCTAAAACACCAAACGAAGTGCTCAGGAATGGTTTAAAAGAGTAGACATGTCAACTTGCTGCAGTCAACAAAGCCCGCAATGCCTGCCCCGCCTTTAAGCTCTTCTTATTTGCCCACTGCGCTAGAACAGAACGCGAATGGATTGGTTAATATCAGCTGTCAATCAATCAGTTCCGATGACAGGGAGCTACAGCCACGAAAATGTAAAGGTCTGGATACAAGAGAATAAAAAACAACACTGACTGATTTAGTTTCAGAAACCACCTAAAGTTACAAATAATGGCACATCTGAGTAGTGATCATGTAATGAATGTCAATCCAGCATTTACACTTTTCGAAGAGTGGATAAAAGACTTCCAGTGTTTAAAGTCTGCTATGAAAATGACTAAAGCCATTCACCGTAAAGGCAGTGGAACAGAGTTTTCAGGTAACAGTGTTTGCCACTGAATCTACACATTTTAAGCACGAGATGTTTTAACGTTATTTAATCCTTCATTTATTCTTCACGATGCTGTCAGTCGTGCAACTGACACCGCGTTCAAGTTTCCAAAGTGTATCATAAGAATTAACATACTGTCACAGCTCAATTTTTGCCTCTAATTTTATTCGATTTTTTGGTTACACAGGTTTTGCTCTGCATATAAATGCATCAACCCGCTTTCTGTTGGCTTATTATAGATGCATATACTAATGTAATGTGTTCATACATTAAATTAATCTTACATTTTACATTTATGGTCCATGAACAGTATATAAATTATACCTTGCACTTAGAAACACACTTAAAAGAAAATGTCACTGATGTACGCTGCAATTTTAATTGGCAGGGTATGAGGTGGAATAATCGCAGTGTAATATTCATTCAACTGACACCGCGTTCACCATTGCTAAAGAACATGCATTCACCCAGATAAAACTAACATTGCAGCTCATGAAAAGACCGTTATTGCTATTAAGATGACGTATGCAAATAATAAGTTACATGTCAATATCATCTGTGCATTATCAGACAACACCCGTGAGAACAGCACAGTTATTATTGTTAATTCAGTTCTCGTCAAGCAGTGCTTGCAGGGCTGCTGAGCGCATGCAGATTTTTGTTTATTTGTTAGTGGTGATTGATTAGAGAGTTAATATATAATATAATCTGTTAATATAAAACGTGTAGAAACGGTGCTCATAATTTTTGGTGGGTGCAACTAAATTTTGTCTGGTGAGCGTAATTTTTTTAAGTTAGGAGCACCGGTGCTACCAAGAAAAAAGGTTAATTTCAAGCCCTGCTTTCCTAATCAAACACACCTGAATCAACTCATCAGAACATTAGAAGAGACTCCAAAACCTGAAATGAATGGATCAGATAAGGGAGACATCCAAAATATGTACATGTGCCTCCAGGAACATGGTTGAGAAACACTGACTTAATGAATGTTAATGTTTACCTTAGCCACAAGGAAGCCTTCAGAGAAGAGCATGATCTCACAAATCTGCTGCAGGTCAGGAACGATGACAACCACTGGTCTGAATAAAGCTTTCACTGACTCTGGAAGTTCTGTGCGGCCGGCATAACCTGGGTTCATTGTGATGAAAATCCCAATGCGGTTGTCCAGACTGATTTCTTGACCTTCAAACTAACCAACACAAAAACACAAGACATTCAGAGCCTGACATACTTACAACAATTATCATTCATTGTTTAACTATAAGAGGCGCTCAGTAACCTAAACTTACATGAAATCTCTGGAGGTGCAGCATGAGAGCGTTTCTGATTGTTTGGATCTGGGATGAGATGACAGACAGCACTGAGGCGTCAATGCGATTGAACTCGTCAAAACAGCCCCAGGCTCCACACTGAGCTAAACCAGAGAGAATCTTCCCCACAGCCTAAGGAATAAGAAAGTCATCTCAAATTTAATAACACAAACGCATTGGAGTCAGTTAGATTGTGACATTTATTTGAAGAACTATTTAACAATGACATCTTAAATAGACAAAAAGTGACAGTAAAGACCTCTATAATATAAATATAAAACAAATGTATTTAGATATTCTATACAGAAACTACAAACAGCAGTAATATTACACTAAAAAAGTAAAGTTCGTAGACAAAATTTATGGTGGCCCTATCATACACCCAGCCAATTCGGCGCAAGGCACGACGCAACTGTTGTTTGCTAGTTTCAGCTTGGTGCAAGAATCATTTTGACGTTTTGCACCACGCTGTTTAAATAGCAAATGCATTTGCGCTCATATGTGCGCCCATAGGCATTCTGATCTAAAAAAGGAGGCATGTGGAGGCGCATTGCTGGAGCGTTGCTATTTTGAGAAACTATAATAGACTGTTCAATAGACCAGAACAAAGCCGGTCAGTCTAAAGTCCAGTGCAGAGTGCATTAGTTGTGCGCCTCACTTCCACATTGGTTAATACAGACAGGACGTACAGCAATTTGCAAATATCTTTACATTTGACAAATAATTAAAATATTAAAGATACATATATACATATATATATATATATATATATATATATATATATATATATATATATATATATATATATATATACAGTATATATATATATATATATATATATATATATATATATATATATATACATAAGGATATATATAGGATATAAATATAAAGGATTAAAATATTACAAAACATTATTTTCTAGCCTACATAAATATAAAAATTTAATTTGAATTCAAAAATAGTTTTGAAAAAAATCTTTCCGCTTAACAAACTAAATTATTTATAGGCTAAAGGACGTCTGTCCGTACAAGAAATTTCCCTATCCACGAGAGTGAAAGTAAATAATAAGGAGGCTCATCTCTCACTCTCATGCTATAGATGCTTTGTTTAACTGTTTTATTGCTAGTGAAGTGTTCAGTTTTTCCACTTACAAAGTGCGTCATGTAAATAGCAAATGCGCTATGGGGTGACACAACTGGCTCTTAAAGGGAATGGGAGATGAGACTGTGATTGGTTTATTCTCAAAACACACCTATAACTCATTAAGAAAATAAGCTTAACCCTTTTAGACCATGCGCCATGGCACAAAGCAGATTTTTCCATCCTTAAAATAGCAAAAGTGGATTCCGACATTCCCCTTATTGCTTTTGCGCCCTGCGCTTTGCACTTTGCGCATGGATCGTCAAAATAGAGCCCTTAAAGTTTAAATGATTGAATTAGTTTTTAAGAAGTTTGAAACAGTTGGCATAGATGGATACGCATGTATATATGTATAGCATGTTTCTAGTATGGATTGGCATGTTTCTTGCAAGGCGATTGATAGGGGTTTCTGAACGATTCTTAAGTCAATATTAGGGGGTTGCTATGATGCTGCTAGGTGGTTACTAAGTGGTAACAGGAGTGTTCTGAATGGCTGCTAGGCAGTTGCAAAGGCGTTAGCATTGCCTAGGTGTTGCTAGGCGTTTGCTAAGGTGTTGCTATGTGGTTGCTAGCAGGTTGTAGGGCATAGCTAGTTGGTTGCTGAGGTATTGCTAGGTGGTTGCTAAGATGTTGCTAGATGGATGCTAAGGTGTTTTAGGTCATTGCAAAGGTGTTACTATGTGGTTGCTAGGGTGTCCCGATTAGTTGTTAGGTGGTCGCTAAGGCGTAGCTAGGTGGCCGCTAAGGTGTTGCTAGGTGGTTGCTAAGGTGTTGCTATGTCATTGCTAGGGTGTTGCTATATCACACTAAGTAACATTAAGTCTGTATGACAGTTTAATAAAAAGTTATAAGGTCACAAAGCTTGGTCCAATGTTAAGTCAATGGGGACTTTTTCAAATTTTCTGGGTCAGTTTTCAGAAAACCGTAAGTTGCATCAGTTGAAAAAGATATAGCAACCCGAGTCAGAGCAGTTTAGAGGTTTCGTCTTAGTTTGGTGGTTGTAGTATGAACAGTCTGGGAGGAGATGTTTGTAGAAAATAGTCTTCGAAGAAGAAGAGGAAGAAGAAAAAGAAGAAGAAGAAGAAGAAGAAGAAAAAGAAGAAGAAGAAGATGAAGAAGAAGGAGGAGGAGAAAGAAGAAGAAGAATAAGTTTATGTATTGTAACATGTAGTGCTCTCTCAAGCCACCATAACAAGTAATATGACTTTGAGCTTTCTAACCATGTAGTCCATGCCCTCGCCGCAGTTGGTGACCACACACAAAAGTCCCAAAGCTTTAGCCAGATCTTTAGTGGATTCAGTTTTGCCTGTACCCGCAGGTCCGGCAGGTGCTCCACCCAGGAACATAGACAAGGCCTGAGATTATCATACAATGTACAGTATTAATAGCATAAAACACACACCAAATAGGCCATTTAGGGTGGGATAACTGCATAGACTGGGTACCTGAGTAAGTGTGAGATAGATGCGGTCAGTCAGGGGAGTAATGACCAGTCGGCCGTTCAGTCCCATGTACTCATAGCCGTAGCAGAACTGAGCACTGCACTGCCGCACAAACAGCTCATCAGGCTCTTTCACCCAGTAGAATCTCAACTGACTCTCCCATTCAAACTCACGAGCATCTGTGATGCTGTCCACACATAAAAAATATAGCGTATTAGGAAGGAAAATTCAACCATTTTACCAGCAAATATATTTTCTTCTTTTGCTTATGTATATGACTTCAGATGAACACAACTATTTCATATAAAAAATGCAAGTTGTATTATGCAAGTTTACAAGACATCCAAAAGTGTTGCTTCCCAGTTGATGAATCATTGTTTTCTAGCTGAAAGCATGAGTGTGTGTAAGAAAAATACTACTAATAGAAATACTAATATTTCTATGTTATCCACAGTTGGTCAGAAATGATGGTTTATAGTTAATCAGATGAAAATAGTATTTTAGCATTTAAAGCACAGTAGTATTTGCCCTACACACATATTAGTTTAGCTTTAGAAGACAATGATTCATCAACTGGTGTTGAGTGGATTACCGTTATGTTCATTTTGTATAGACCATTTCAAAGTGGTGATGTCACTGGCCCATGAACATTTTCTGCTTGTTATCAAACTATTTCTTAACTGTAACAAGAGACAATTCGATCATAACTTAAAACAGTTATCATGACATTATTTGTCAATATGTGGCTCTTTTTGGATTCTCTGTAGCTATAGAAATTAAAAATGTTAAACAGGAAATATGCTGGAACCATTGTTTATATTTAAATCCCTCAAAATGGTCTATATTTCTAAAAGTTCCTCTTTAAAGCTATTGTACACTTGCATTGTATGTTATTTTTGTTCAAACCTTTGTGTTCATCCAAAGACTATAACCAAAGAGTTTAGAATGACCAAGAGGCGACACTCAATAAAACGTTCTATTGCAACAGCAGCGCCCAGCAACAGCCCCGGATTCTGCCATTTTGGAGTGAAAGAGATTGGCTGTTCATTGGATCTTATTGCTGTCGCGATGGCAAGCAGCTGCTTTGTTTTTAATTTATTTATTTAAAAAGCGCATTAAAGCTAAAATACAACCTGAAAGACGACAATATAACACTTACTATCACAATCATCATCACTTTTAATTATTTATTTTACAGACTTATAATATGCTGTTGTGCTATTGGAGTTTTCATTCCAAAATTGCCGCCGCGCCATCTCGTGGCTGTTTCCCATATTGCACAACAGTGTCGCCTCTTGGTGATTCTATGCTCTTTGCTATACCATACACAAGACATGTCACTCGTATACTTTTGAATGGGGAAAAGTGTAACTGTCAATAAGGTGAATCAAGCCCAGTACAGTACAGTAGTACAGAAGCCAATCAGCAATCGCTATAGAATGACAATTCTCCAGGGAGGGGGCTCGGAGAAGACGTGAGTCTCTGCAGATTTTGTGTGATATGAACATTTAGAAATGAAACTAAATAGACAGTTGTTGTTTAATTTTGCTGGCTATTCGTAATACGAAATGTAATCACAAGCTTGGCAAGTACTTTTGGAGAATTTGATGTTTTCCATTCAAACAGAATGCCCAAGCATACTGGCCGAGAGGCGTTTCAAAGATGGCTGCCGAGTAAAATGACTTGCCTTGAAGAGACTTATGTTCATCTGAACAAAGTCATGTACATTTTGGATCACACAAGGTAAAAAAAAATAGAATTTTCACTTTAGAGTATAGTTTTCCTCCATTTTTGATTTACTGTGTAACACAGTAAATGACTGCACGTTGTTTGTATCGTACCTGTCTCTGACAAAAGAGTCCACAATATCTCTAGCATGGACATCAATGATGAGGACAGTGTTGATTTTTCGTCTGTCATTCTTCTTTAAGGGTTCTGTGATGCGTTTCACCAGGTCATTGATCTGCTGGTGCATTTTCTTTGCATACTGCTTCAGTGCCTGCTTCTCTCCTTCATTCATCCTCCTGAAGACATCTTCCACCTCATAGGTCCACCATACCTGGTTTGTTGCTAGTACCACCATACCCTGGTAGTCAAGCATCCAGTCCACTCTGACAGAACAGCAGAAGACCATTTTATAAACTTCTTGCAAATTATAATCAGAAAGGCAAGCGATCAGCTTAGATTGATAGTGCTGGGTCATGATTGTGTAGCATGGCATTTAATATTGGACTTACCTTGACTTTTGGTGGCTGTAGAAGTAAATAGCCTCTTTGGTGATGAGTCTGTTGGTTCTTCTCATCTCCAACAGCACCGCAGTCATCCAGTCCTCCACGCGGCCCTCTGCAGGTACAGGCTGTTTGAGCTCCATCACCTCCCCCTCAGCAGACACAAGTGCATTTGCCACCATCTCTCCATTCATTCCCGTATCGAAACGCAAAGCTGCTATGTTGTCATACATCTGTCAATGAAAACAAAAACTTTAAAAATCAATAATTGTCAGTTAGTTTGGACCGGAATCGAATTAAATGGAAAGATTTGAACAAAAGCAGTTGTTGATTGAATCTTAAAAGGCACCGATGATGCAAAATGCGTAGTTACAGTGTGTTCACTGTTATATTGAAAAGGTATAAACACAAATCTCTTTTTTTTTTTAAATTCCTGTTGTTAAAATAGGACATAAAATTCCCAGTGATTTTGCAGGAGAAGCAGACATGTAGAACAATGGTTGGGGATAGCCAACTCAATTACAGTTATAGGCACAGGCAACTAAAACTGCTACAATATCCTCTTACCCCAAAATTCATATGTTTAGCAGGGTATAATAAATGATCTGATGGGTATTTTAAGATGAAACATTTATAGACACATTCTAAAGACACGTATTGTACATCTTGTAAAAGAGTTAAAATAGAAGCCCTTTAATTCTACATGCTGTCTGACATACAGCTGAAGTCAGAATTATTAGCCCCTCGGTTTATTTTTTCCCCAATTTCTGTTTAACGGAGAGAAGATTTTTTTTCAACACATTTCTAAACATTATAGTTTTAATAACTCATTTCCAATAGCTAATTTATATCTTTGCCATGATGACAGTAAATAATATTTGACTACATATTTTTCAAGACACTTCTATACAGCTTAAAGTGACATCTAAAGGCTTAACTTGGTTAATTAGGGTAACTAGGCAGGTTATGGTAATTAGGCATGTTATTGTATAACAATTGTTTATTCTGTATTCTGTTTTTATTCTCGAAAACAAATACTGCTTAAGAGGTTAATAATGTTGACCTTAAAATGTTTTTATTTTATTTTTTTAAATAAACGCTGCTTATATTCTAGTCAAAATAAAACAAATAAGACTTTCTCTAGAAGAAAATATATTATCCGACATACTGTGAAAATTCTCTTTGCTCTGTTAAACATCATTTGGGAAATATCAGTGTTCAAACATATTTTTACTACTAAAATTCCATGACTTTTCCATGATTTTTCCAGGACTTTCAAGTAAATTTTCATGACCTAATGTTTCATGTAATGTCTACATATGCGTGGCAAAAGAAAAACAATGTGCTCAAATTTATTATGGATAAATTCATTATGGATTTAATAAAATGTGCAACAATCTGTTTAGTTTACATTTATATTTCATTCATTCATTTTCTTTTCAGCTTAGTCCCTTTATTAATCTAGGGTCATCACAGTGAAAACGTACATGAACACAGGATGAACATGCAAACTCCACACAGAAATGCCAACTGACCCAGCCGAGGCTTAAACCAGCAACCTTCTTGCAGTGAGGCGATTGTGCTACCCACTGCGCCACTGTGACGCCAAATTTATATTTATATCTATGTGAAACTTATTTAGATAATGCTTACACCACACTAATAATGTGAGTATGTGATTGGCCAAGGAAAGAATAGAAGACAACTAACCTATTTTCAAGTATATAGATATCTGTTTTCCATGACTTTCCCAAAACTTTGTGGGTTTTTCTGTTTTTCCAAAACTTTTCCAGGCCTGGAAAATGCCATTTCAACTTTTCCAGGTTTTCCATGACCATATAAACCATGAAATATTTAAAAAATATTTTATAAAACCCTAAAACTGGGGCTAATAAATCTGACTTCAACTGTATGTCATCCATCTGTGGTGTTTACTCAAAAATAAAAACATGTACATATGATGCCTAGGAATCGTTACTAATAAGATGAATACCGTCCATTTAGAAAACAGAGCTTTTATTTCATGCTTTTCTTTAACAAACAAAAGTACCTTAATCATGTGCTCCTGCACACAAGTAGGCTCACTGCTGCCCAGAATACTGAGAAGCTCATCGTCAGAGATGAAGAAAAAGCGTGGGAAAGCGTTCCGCTTGGAATCAAGATAATCATTTAGACTCTTTTGACACCTCTCCAAACCATCGCTTAAGTTCTGCAGGTCAGCCAGACGATTTGGAACCAGACAGCATCTTTTAATGCCAGGATCCTTTACTGTGTCAGTCATTATCTGGTGAAATCCAACAGAGGATAAGGGATTTACGTTATTTTCAAACATGTTTTTCATAGTTGGTGCAGAACTCACCTTTTTGAACGTTTTGTCGATATTGTCAAATTTTTTGGCTTCCTCAGGTAGCTGAGAGCGGATGTCACCTCCAATGAAGATGCTTTCTAGGTACATCCATTTCTGCTGTACTAACATCCACACCTAACAAATTTCAAAATTGGAATATGAGCAATGTCTTATTTTTAAATCTATGATTATTAATAATGATGGTTTCCCCTGACCTCAATAGTCTCACTGATAAGTGATAGATTCTTCTCCCACTGTTGAACGGTGGCCAGGAAGGGACCAACAAAGTGGCTGCCTGCCATGCTCTGCAGGTTCATGGCATCATCGTCCAGGTGTTGAAGGATGTCATCCACAGCACCAAGAATGAAACCATGTTCTTGTGTGCCTTTGAAGTATCGATGCACAGTGAACTTCATACTATCCCATGTTTCTTCCACTTCTTTTACTCCCTGTAAAAATATAAACAAATACACTGTGTAATCAATAGGGTATTTGCATAACTAGTATTTTCCCCCCAATGATAAATGTCCGGTGAAGGGTTAAAGTGACTTTTTTTTTATTTTATATGGTTCCTTTTACAGCATTGACATTGTAATGTAATTAAAATATAATCAGTTAAATAGACTTAAGCATTCATTTAGTGTAAAATGTGAAGAAAAGCCGTTTACACACTTGTGCCATCATTGGCCAAATTGGCCGTAGTGTATGTGTGTGAATAAGTGAGTATGAATGTTTCCCAGTGATGGGTTGCAACTGGAAGGAAATCCGCTAGTAAAACAAATGCTGGATAAGTTGGCAGTTCATTCCGCTGTGGCGATCCCAGATTAATAAAGGGACTAAGCCGAAAAGAAAATGAATTAATGAATTTTAAAGACATGGCACAGAAAAATGTTATTTAGTGCAGTGCTTCTTGTACATTCTGAGATAAACTTTATATCATATATACAATCAGGCAGTGAAGATCATTGATTTCTGAAGAAAACAGACTTCAAACAATTTAGTAATGGCATACAGTTCACCGGAATCACTTTAAATGGTTGACTGAAAATTAAAAGTCCTTCTGCATATACCCTATTATCACAATCCTGACATACAAACAATGCAAAAAGTTTGACAACGAGTTTAAATGTGTCTCTATTTTACATGGGTTTTGATTTGATTTAATCACCCTAATTATTTAAAAAAAAAACTCTGTTCAATTCCTTTAGTTTACATTTTTGCCTTTACTGTTATGGAATAGTATCAGTGAATTGGAGGACGCTAGGTTAGAGAGAGAAACAGGAAGGACCTGGCAAATTCCAAAACAGAATCAAATGCATACGGGTTGGAAAAAACATGAAGGGGAGTACGTGATGACGGAATGTTCATTAAGAACCACAGCTGAAACTTAATGAACATTTTCTTCATGAATATTCCTAATAATTGTTTAACCTTTTCAATGCCAAGCTCCTTGACAGCTGAGGTGACGATTTCACTGATGACGTTACCATACTTGTGCAGTTCCATGGCGAACATGTTTTCAAGAGTGAAGGTGTTTGGGTTCATCTCAAAGTTAGTACCTGTCCTCTCCATTAGGCTCTTCCAGTGCCTGCAGAAGAGTTTTGAAGATTACACCATTTATTTCTTAATCATATTTAAAAGCTTTGTTTGAAAATCCAGACATGTTGCACTACCTTTCCCTGAGAGCTTTATTTTTAAGGTCCAAGAGTAGAGGTAGTGACTCTCTGAACTCCTTCATGCGGCCCTCCAGAAAGAACGATACAGGAAGAGCTCTCGCATCCTTCGGGAGCTTCCGTAAGCTCTTGATAAATCCATCTATACCCTCTTGAAGGAGCTGAATGTCCAGATTAACCCAAAGGGTCTGCGACCACTCTGTCTTAGCTTCCTAACAAAAGTAGACACACTTGTGTTACAACATGTGACCAACATAACAATATTTCAATGTTTATTGATCTGAATTTCCACTGTAACCTTCTGACTCTTGAAAATCTCATAGATCTGTCTCAGGCCCCTCATCTCCTTCTGCACGTTGAGAAGCTCTGGGTACATAGTGATGGGCAAATTGAACAGTTTCTCAGCTTTAGCCAGTTCTTGACGTCTCGCCTCTACCCTCACCAGCTCTGTCTCATAGGTACTCATGATCTGCAAACCTAAAACCAAAAGAGAATATATAGTGATAAAATACCTGATGTATAAAAAACAAAACACATCAGAATAGTTGACTGGTGTATTTGCCTTTCTCTAGATCATCTCCCACTGCTCCAGGCCCATGCATGTTGAAGCTCTCTGCGAATATGAAGAGCTCCTGTTTATACTCCTCAATCTGATTCAGAGTGATCTACAAGAGAGTGGGAATGAAAACATTTGCAATTCAATGATCAAGTATGATGTGTGCTTGGTACAATAAATCAACATAGCTGGTAAATAATTGGTACTACCTCTGCAAAGGTCTTCTTAACTTTTACCAAACTACGGTCAACTTGTCTAGACTCCATAAAAAGATCGTTCCACAGAATGGAGATGTTTGCAGACAGCTGCATCTCTTCCTCTGTGGTCTTGGGAACAAAAATTAGTGGTTAGCAGAAATACTCAATGGAATGAGCACAACCAATTGTTTCACATGCATGCAATATATTTCCCATGTAATTTTAACATGTGACTGCACATGTGAAGCTTCTGTTATTTTTCTGTAAAAGTTTATCTTTATTTCAAGCTACTCAACTCAAACTACTAAATATTCTGCATTGTAAAAGCTGATTAGTTGACTTTACTTGAAAAAAGTGTAGTAAACCCATTGCCTTAAAATTAAGTAAATGAACTACACTCACCGGCCACTTTTTTAGGTACACCTTACTAGTACCGGGTTGGATCTCCTTTTGCTTTCAAAACTGCCTTAATCTTTTGTGGCATTGATTCAACAAGGTACTGGAATTATTTCTCTGAGATTTTGGTCCATATTGACATGATAGCATCATGCAGTGGCTGCAGATTTGTCAGCTGCACATCCATGATGCTGTACTCCTGTTCCACCACATCCCAAAGGTGCTCTATTGGATTGAGATCTGGTGATTTGAGTACAGTGAACATATTGTCATATTCAAGAAACCAGTCTGAGACGATTCACTCTTTATGACATGGTGTATTATCCTGCTGGAAGTAGCCATCAGAAGATGGGTACATTGTGGTCTTAAAGGGATGGACATGGTCAGCAACAATACTCAGAGATGCTCTTCTGCATACCTTGGTTGTAACTGGTGATTATTTGAGTTACTGTTGCCTTTCTATCAGCTCGAACCAAACTGGCCATTTTTTTCTGACCTCTGGCATCAACAAGGCATTTGCAACCACAGAATTGGCACTCACTGGATATTTTCACTTTTTCGGACCATTCTCTGTAAACCCTAGAGATGGTTTTGCATGAAAATCCCAGCAGATCAGCAGTTTCTGAAATACTGTGACCAGCCCATCGGGCACCAACAACCATGCCATGTTCAAAGTCACTTAAATCACATTTCTTCCCCATTCTGATGCTTGGTTTGAACTGCAGGAGATATGGAGATAATAAGGTCTTGACCATGTCTACATGTCTAAAGGCACTGAGTTGCTGCCATGTGATTGGCTGATTAGAAATTTGCATTAACAGTTGGACAGGTGTACCTAATAAAGTGGCCGGCGAGTGCATGTTAAGTCAACTTACAATGGGTTACAATGGGTTTACTTTCATTAAGTAAAGTCAACTTGTCGCATTTAGGTCAACTTACAGTAAATTGTTTAAAGTTAATAGTTTTTTTACTGTGAACAAAGTCTTTTAGTGTTTTTTTATAGTGAAAAATTTTATTGAGATACATTTATTTATTTATTTTTATTTTTTTTTAAAGAAATTTCCCTAAATACTGAATTAGTATATTAAAAATGATTTCTTAAAAAAGAAAACAAAATACCAATTAGTGAAATTATTTAAATGTTGTAAGAATTTGCCATAATATTACTTTTTTACAGTTTACAGTTTTTGATGAAAGACGGCATTTGGTGCAACAGAGATGAAAAAAACTTGAATCTTGAAACTTGAATTTACCAAGCGATTTTACAATCACTATCAACAATCACACTTAATCAAATTTTATCAAACTAATTAGTGTAGACACACAAGCTGTTGTTCTACCCTCCAATACACTCTGATTTACTCACCTCCACAATGTACATGCTCAGAGTTCTGTATCTTTCTTGAGCATCATTGATTCTCATCTCCACTGAGAGAGACATGTCTCTAATGTCCGTGATAGTCACCAGAACAAATTTCAGATCCTCCAAGGTATTAGGGCTTCTTTTCAGATTTTCTGACAATATCTGTTTTAACAGCAAATGCATTATATAAGAATATTAATCTCAACATTTCACGAGTCTTAGAGGATGTAAAGATGGCATTAACAATAAAGCATCATTAGGCCTTACCAACAGCTCATTGCGCAAGTTAAAAAGCTCCTCTCGGGCCGAGTCATTGAGTAGCTTTCCCAGAGAGGTGACCCACACTTGAATGTTCTCCTGGACGGCACGTGCCAGAGGTTCCAGATTTAGTCTGATTATGTGTTCATGCTTCACCATGGGCTGCTTTGCCACCTCATTGCTGACCTTGACATAGAACTGAAACTTCTCATCATACATCACGCACGATGGCTTCTTGGCTGCAAACTTCTCCATGACAATAGCCTTGTCGAGTTTCCAGAGAGAGCGGTAGCTCATCCAGGATTTGAGGTAGACACTGATTCCATTAAGGAGACGTTGTATTGTCTGGGATACAGCTGTGGCTTGCTCATTTATCTGTGGAAGCTGGCAAATGTCACTGTAAAAAGTGAAGAGGAATGATTCGTCTTCTCCATCCACGTGCTGTGGAGGGCATTGAATGCAGCTGCCATGCATCCAGCGAACAAACCTCTAAAAATATACAAATGGAGGAAGCTAATTACTAATTAAGTTACCAATGATTTATTTTGTACTAAAATTTTACTAGATCCGTCAACATTTTTTTTTTCTAATTCACTACATTAAGTTGCCATTTAAATACATCATAGGTGATTCATTTGAACCACAATTTGTTTCATAACTGAAATCTTTACATTATTGAACTGAACTGAATCAACACTGAATAGGTGAAAGCTATGGCCTAAGGGTTAGAGAGTTGGACTTCTGATTGAAAGGTCACAAGGTTTGAGTCCTGGCACCTGCACAGATTATGTTGTAGGTGACGAGAGTGAATAACCAGCGCTCTCACCACCCTAAATACCATGGCTGAGGTAAGTCCCTCAAACATGGCACAGATCCCACAACTGTTTCCTGGATGCCGCAGCAATAGCTGCCTATTAATTTGTGTGTGTGTGTGTGTGTGTGTGTGTACTTGGACAAATTCAGAGTATGAGTTACCACATCATGACTTTCACTTTCATAGTCAGAAGAATTAATAGCATGGATTTTCTAATGGATGTCCGCTCCAGGGTGGAGTAACACATGTCCTTTCTTATGACTATGATTATTAATATATAGAATGTTTAAGAGGCCAGATTATATGATGACCTTAGTGTGTGATTGCTTTTCTTTATACCAAAGGATTTGTTTTCTTGATTTTTCTTTCTATTTGATTGTAAATCCTTTTACAGGTCTGGGGTCAGCTCTAAACAGGGTAGAGCAGTGGTCACCAAACTAGTTCCTGGAGGGCCAGTGTCCTGCAGATTTTAGCTCCAACCCTAATCAAACACACCTGAACAAGCTAATTAAGGTCTTACAAGGTATACTTGAAACATCCAGGGAGGTGTGTTGAGGCAAGATGGAGCTGAACCCTGCAGGGACACTGGCCCAATAGGACCAGGATTGGTAACCCTTGGGCTAGAGGATATTTGTATCTGATATTTGTATGCTTGAGATATTGAGGTGTCGTTCAGAGTTGTACGCACACACCCACATGGAAATTTTCTAAAAAAAAAAAAAAACTTCTAAAACACAGATAGGTTAAATCAGGTCAAAACACTTATATGCATGACACAGTTATTGACATTATGTAAGAGTATAACTGGTGTTGTTTTAAGATTGTAAGCAAACCGGCCTACAAACTCATTGCGAGTGTTAAAGCTGGCTTCTGCTGATAAAACTGCAAACTATCTTCAGTAAACTTTCGTTAATTGACTATCTGACTCTGCTTCATCTGAAAGACTGGTCATTTTTGGGTTCAACCTGTAATTATCCCTACAGAATATTGTTCATAGCTAAATTGAAACAGTTTTATAACTTGTTTCATTACTGAAAACATTATATTAATTGAACTAAACTATATCAACACTGAATAAAGAATCTATTGTTTTTTCTAAGCTGATATTTGAAGTCATTTTGTCATTGGTAGTTTATTTTTCAGTTTAGTTCTGCATGTGTATACTACAGTATATACTTATTTAATTAATTACAGTGACTAAGTAATAACAAAGCACTAACGCTGAACCCTCCCCTAAAGTTTAAGACATCTAGATTCCTTACTTTGCCCAGTACTTTATTAAATGAGACCTTAAAATGCCTATAGTGTAAAATAAAGCTCAACCATGTCAGTGGAGAGACCATGATGGGTAAGGGCCGATAGAAGAAATTTGGCCAGGACACTGGAGTTACCCCCCTACTCTTTACAAGAAGTGCCATGGAATTTTTAATGACCACAGAGAGTCAGGACCTCGGTTTATTGTCTTATCCGAAAGATGGAACATACCTTAGTCGTCTCCACACAGTCACCGACACACTGCCTAATAAGCTTGTAGACTTCACTGCTCTTAGGAAGCAAAGCAATCTCTGGAGCAGCTAGGATGGTATCGATTTGGAAGAGTGGAGTATTGCCCATCAGTGCTGTGTTAAAGGCTTGAATATTCCTGAAAGACATTGCTAATAGTAAATGAAAAAACAATGTCCATTTAGGTGAATACATCTGAGAACCAATCAAATAACCTACTGAAACACCATCTTGGTAAGTGAATCGAAGATCTTGCGCTCCCAGTAAGCATAGAACTGAGCCATGCCTTTGGCTTTGCCAGTGCTGGTCCCCATGATCAGACTCTCCATCTTGGTGAGGAGGGGACTGATAGCTGCATACATATTTACAAGCAGATTCACTGTCTTTGCCCTCTCAGATTCAATGAATTCACAGAACTCCCTTATTCCTGGAACAACAGACAAATATCTCCTTACCACACTGCTATTTTGTACCTGAGGTGTTTGCTTTTTGTGAATAACCTAGTCATTGTAAATGCAGCCCTTGGGACTTCTTACCTGGAAGATATCCGGTTTGATCTGCCAACGGGAACTTGAAAAGGTTTGCAGATTCGATAGACTTTAGTTTATCATCAATGTCGCGTTCGTTCTTCTGAATCTGATTCTCAAGTGACTCAAATTTTGAAGCTGCCTGGTTTCCACGTTGGATGAATTGTGGTATACCTGTAAAACAAGTGTAAATGATTATTGATTTTTTTTTTAAAATGTGACTTCTTTCAAAATTAAAATAATTGGGGAAGTGAATTTTAAAGAGTCCTCAAAAATCAACTAATCAATCAACCAGTTTTTATTTTGAAGCAGCTTTCAAAACAAAACTGATGCAGTTCACAAGGCTTTTCAGACAGGAATTATATTAATTATATAGAACTTTTTCTAAGAACGCAAATTACCCATTACGCTTAGCATGTATGCTCAAAGAGAATGCTAAGAACTTCCGGTCTGCAGCTGATGCGTATAAACAGTCACATTTGGACAGCTTTAAAACGATAGTTTTAATCTATTACATTCGCTTTTAACGTCTTTGAACTAATACTGTTGTGGATCACGATCAGCACCACCTCCTGCCCTAATCATTTAGAAAATGTGATCTAATAGGATAGAAAACAGCTGCTGCGAGGCATTTTGCCCTCGTTGTCAAACATCAACTTGTGCCGTTTAAATGAAGCCTTGTCATCGCTAAAGCCAACATTTTCTCTTTTTTAAATATATGACCAACCCAAACAAATGTAATTCACCAACATGTTTGACACACAAACATAGCCTTAACTGTCCCACTAACATAAACGGCTCCCGATTAGAATCAACATGCAAATCAGCCAGCAGAGTATCAGTAACAAACTTTTATTGGTCATTTTTGTAAATTGCATGAATTACATTCCTGTTACGTTTCATGCCAGTAATCTAGTTTGCTCTATAATGCAGTGAAGTATTGCATGTATGTGTGTGTGTGCATTGAAGAGCCACCGAGCTAACAGCTGACAGGTCGGGAACACAAACACACATTGTATTTCTGGGGGCAGACACATGAACTATGAGAATGTTTTTCTCTCGCGCTTGAACCACATCTGACAGATTATAACGGCTTTAACACAACTTTCAAAGTTGTGTGTCACAAATATTTTCAGTAATTTACTAAAAATGCTATTGATACTCATTTTCAGATTGCAAATTACCCGTTTTAAACGCTCTAAGTTCTAAACATTCTACCGGAAACTGCTGGTCGCTATGGACCATGCTGGTCCATGCAGCAGCCAAGAAAAAGGTCTATAGACTGATATGTTTTTAGTATGTTTGTTTGTGTGTTTCTAGAATAGATTGATATGTCGTTAGTATGTCCAATGTAAATTTAATGGCAGTTTCTAAAATGGAAGTCTATGGGACAGTTGCTAGGGTACCTTAAGTGGTTGCTAGGTTGTGGCTAGTAAGTTAAAAGGTCATCAGTGATAAGTAGATTGGTAGTCTGAGTTAAATGAGACCAACATTATGTCTGTACGACAGTCTGGAGCAAAGTTATGAGGTCACAAAGTTTGGTCCAATTTCTCAAGCCACCATAACTATAAAAAACAACCCATAAACAGACATCAATAATAAATAGAGTTAAAATACAAAGTGAAACAATAAGATTAAAATGTAAGAAAAAAAGATAAATGGAAAAAATAGAGAAAAAATTATTTAACAAGACTTGAAAGAAAGCGACTAAGCTGAACAGAAAATGAATGAATGAAGACTTGAAAGATTTATTTTTTAATACTTGTTTACTTTAATACTTGTAACTTACCCAGATTATTCCAGTTGATTCTTTTGCACCCAACGCTTAACACTTGCCTCAGTTCCTGCACCTGGTCAGCCATTAGTAAAAACTCTGCGTCATTTAGATTATCCATTAACAAATGGTAACGCCTCACTAATTTCTTCAGTCCATTTATGTACCTGCATGCAAAACATTCAGATTACATGAACGAGGTAGTAAAAGCACCGTTTTGGTCATAAAGATTTAGTAAATGAATTTAGAAATGAATTACTGTTGTAGTTCACACATATTTATCCTACCTCAGAAACACCTCCTCCTGCAGAGCAACATTTTGCAGCTCATCTGGTAATACTATGCCTATACGGTCCAGACATTTGGCCTCAGATATGATTTCTTGCAGTTCAGGAGGAAAATTAACAGAAAAGCGCACATCCCTTTCCAAAACCTTCTCCGAGCCCTAAGTATGAGTATAATAAAACATAATAACATCACTCATTGCAAAAAAATAATTTATGTGTGCGGTGGCTTTTGAATAAAAGGGAACAAGCTCTAAACATGCTCTATAATTAACATTACTAGTCCCAGCATTTCCATGTCACTGCAACTTACAGTACGATGACGTGTGGAGTCTGCACAGACAGTCCCGTAACTGTTGACCATGACCAGTAAGCTTTTCCTCATGAGAATGGGCAGAGTTTGATTAGTATCTGCTTTCCATTTGTTATAGAGATCCACCTCATACTGCCTCATACGTGAAGCCACCTCTATAAATTTGGATTCCACCTATTCATCAGGGGAAAAAAGGACATTTTTATTTATACACATGGAAATATGGGAACGTGAAGGTGTAGATGTATGCAAATATATTTTGTATACATATTTGTGTAGGTACAGGACTGTGCATAATACACATTTTTAAAACAGTTTTGCCTCAAGAACTATTCACTCTGAATAGAAAACCCTGAATAGTTACAATGGTTTTTGGTTAACCTGACCCTGATCAGAAGTGCTTTTTTTTTGGCATTTACATAAAGACTAAACTTACAGTATTTTTACATATTTGCATTCATAAACTGGTAAATGGTGTAAAACAGAACTGAACAAAGCCCATTCCGAAGGAATAAATTTAAAGATGCACCATTTTTGTATTACTTACATATATATGCTGTATATATGTTATAGCAGTGTGTTGAAACATAAAAATAAGGGTTTATACTATGCTTTAGATACAATGGTGGTTGGCAATGACTTGAATGTAAATGTAATGCTATGTGACCTTGTTTACAAGACTTTTCACTGATGTGCTTGAAATACTGATCGAGAGATTAGATGAGATATGATTTGTTCATTCATGTTTGTCTCCTGCTGCAAGTAAGAAGTACTGAATGTTTGCATTCTTTTGCCCCTCTGTTACTGTTTGAACTAAGATGTTTACAGCAATCCGATAAACCACGTCTAAAAGCATCGGAACAACATGTGCTGGGTTTGTATGTCCTGATAAAATGGACTGGGTTTGAAAATGTCATTTTGTTTTGTTTTAAAATTAGTAAGTCTTTCATTTTTTAATTCATGAATCAGCTGAAACAGCATAACCTAAAAAAATATATTGAAGTTTTAGTATTGATTAATTGAAAGCAATATATATAACAATTGTAAAAGAAATATGGAAAAAGTTTTTAACTAGATTTAAATTAAGTTTAAAACAGTGTGCCCCCTTATCAGAACACAGTTTGAATGGGCGTGGCCAACTGTAGACTCAAAAATAAACATCTTCTGCTGCGATTGGCTAAAGACTTTGCATATTATCAGGCCTAAACAGGCAGTAAAGAAGAAGTAGCCATCAATCTTCTGCAAAGGCGGAGCTTATCCACCCTATTACATCATAGAGTAGAACATTTCAAAACCTGTCATTTTCAGCAAACTGCCATTTTGATTTTAGAGGAACAACAAAGTTCTGAAACTTTTTTTAGTTTTGTTTTTATAGTACTATCATGTCAAATATACAGTGCTCAGCATAATTGAGTACACCCCTATATTGAAAATTTATATTTGTATCCATTTCTCAGTAAATGTGTGTAATATATACTGGTGCATTTGAACAAAACTGATTTATTAAACATAAATAAATGTAATTAGATTCATGCAATATAATACATTTACATTCATGCAAAATATTGCAAAAGAAGTTACAAACTACAACATTTCAACAAAATTGTATATATTTTTTGTTTCTCTTGATTTTTGCTATTTTTAATATATTATTTAATATTTTTCCCTAACATATAAAATTGGGCTACTAATTTTTAAACCATTATTGTAGGTTATTTTGTTAGATTAGCTCCAGATTTGGCTTCAGTACTGACTAATCTAATGTCTATGCGCAAATATAATATTGTAAAGCATCCTATAGACAATTTTTATAATAAATGTGAGATTCGTGGGGTGTGTACTCATATATGCTGAGCACTGTATCAAAGGATCGAGAGAGTTTTGGTTTCTCAGTTCATGACCCTTTAATAAAGATTAATCTCAGCAATGACCTCTTTTGACCATCACCATCAGACCCAACCCGCATTGACATTTTACATATTAAACTCATGTTAAAGAACAAATGAAATCAAAACCAACCATATGATTTTGTTAGCTTACAAATGTGGTGAACAATGTATCTGTGCATGTCATTAAGAACCGAAATGTTTTGCCCTTGTGATCTAAAATTAAAAACTTACTGCTTTCCCTTCTTGATTGTTCATCAAATCACGATCCTCCCTGAAGCGTTTCATGGGATATCGCATTTGGTCTAGCAAGAAACGTTGCCAAATAATAGCTCCTGCCATTGGAGGATGATTCTTACTCAGAGGTGGATTATCCTTGAACTTCACAAATATGTCATTTATAAGGACCATCTATGCAGGAACAACAACAAAAACACATTAGAACAATAATAAAAGAAACATTTAGCAATTGTGTTCTTCAAAGTTTTTATTAAGCAGTTTCTCAGGCACCTCTTTACAGTACTGAGCAAGAATATCGCTGAACTTTTTCATCAGCTGATCGTTGATGGCATCTCTGCAGCGGATGTTCTTGAATTTCAGCAGCAGATCAAAGGCTGCAGATGAGGAGCGCAGCGTCTTGAAGGAGTGATCAATAAAAGTGATGGCCTCTCTTTCAATTACCTAAACGAGAGCAATTAATACATTAAAATGAATGCTAAATAACTGGAAATTGACAATGTAGCAATTGTTACAGATTTATACCTGGACTTCATTGTTAAATTCCTGCATGACCATTTTCCAGCTGGTCATTTTGCGGTTGTCAAAAGGATCAAAAGTAACTTCCTCGATGGGCTTGACCAGGGAGTTTACACAGTGTAAAACATCATCGATTCGCTTAGGATCCCCCGTCACTGCTTTTAACTCTGGTCCAAAGATAATGTAGAACTCGTCCAGAGTCTGTGAGTGAACATTCATTTGTGAGATGATTACTGTATGTGAGGACTATTTCCTTGGAGAAATGTAAAAAAGAAAGTTCTGAAATGAAACATGCTTTATCTAACTTAGCTTACCTGCAAGACGGAATATAAGTCCTGACAGATCGAAGCCATATAGTCTGTCTTTTCGAAGAGCTTTCTGCGATTAAATTCCCAGCGGGGATCACGTTCGGAATTCTCAATCCGTGCACGAACCTCAAAATAACAGGCCTTCCATATATCTAAAACGCGCTTTCCATCCTGAACCTTGGCTTTGGCCACCACCCTCTTCTCTCTGCATAATATCAAAGAACGTTATTACAATCATTACAAATGAGCATGCATGTTTTATATTTTATGTTTTATATTAAGTGGAATTTTTATATGTAATAATGCTGCATTTCAATTCGCACTATGGGTTCTATTTTATGCGCAAAGTCTAAAGTGCATGGTGCAAAAGTATTTGGGAGCATGTTTAAACCCATTTTTTCTATTTTAAGAACTGAAAACTAACAGGGTTGTGCTTATTTTCTTAATGAAATACGAGTGTGTTTTGAGAATAATGTGCATTAAACCAATCAGAGTCTCATCTCTCATTCCCTTTAAATGTCAGTAGTGTCACGACATGGCAAGGCAAGGCAAGGCAAGGCAAGTTTATTTATATAGCACATTTCATACACAATGGCAATTCAAAGTGCTTTACATAAACAAGAATAAAAGAAACAAGTAAAATAAAAATAAAAACAAATAATTAAAATGCGTAAAAACAAAACAAAACATAAAAACAGGTAAGATGTGATATGAAAGAATGAAGAAGAAGAGAAAAACATGATAGTGCAATCTGTCGGACGCAGCACAGTGCTCATTCAGTAAAGGCACAGCTAAACAGATGTGTTTTCAGTCTTGATTTGAATGTGCCTAATGTTGGAGCACATCTGATCATTTCTGGAAGCTGATTCCAGCAGCGAGGGGCATAGTGGCTAAAAGCCGATTCACCCTGCTTTGACTGAACTCTTGGAACTTCTAGTTTATATGATCCTAATGATCTGAGTGATCTGTTAGGTTTGTATTCAGTGAGCATATCTGTGATGTATTTAGGTCCTAGGCCATTTAGTGATTTATAGACCAGTAATAATACTTTAAAATCTATTCTGAATGTAACTGGCAGCCAGTGTAAAGACCTGAGGACAGGTGTGATGTGCTCTGATTTTCTGGTTCTGGTTAGAATTCTGGCTGCAGCGTTCTGGATGAGCTGCAACTGTCTGACTGTCTTTTTAGGAAGACCAGTGAGGAGTCCATTACAGTAATCCACCCTGCTGCTGATAAAAGCATGAACAAGTTTTTCTAAATCTTCACTAGAAACAAAGCATCTGATACTTGCTATGTTTTTGAGATGATAGTATGATGATTTACTGACTGCTTTGACATGACTGTTGAAACTCAGATGGTGCATTTGCCATTTACATGTTGGACTTTGTAGGTAGAAAAACTGAACAGTTCACTAGCGAACAGTTAAACAGACCATCTGCAGTGCAAGGATAAAGAATGAGCCTCCTCCATTCGGCTTCTTTACTTTCACATCACTTTTGCTTTTCATTTTCGTGGATAAATGAACAGTGTTGTAGGCACTCGACTGAAGATATCTATTAGCCTATTCAAAATTATTTTCATTTGCTAAGTGCAGAAATTTGTTGAAAAATTTCCCGTGAACGAATAAATGAACAATTATAACGAAGTGTGGTTATATCCAAACACATGTCCCATGACCCATATGGTCCAAAATCCAACAAGTGGACAAATCTAAGCTTGTTTTTATTAAAACTAATATAAATATGCATATAATACATAATACTTATGCTAATAATAACAACATTTTAGAAAAGCAAGTCATGAATGAACTGAAAAAAAGCAATGAGTGTTAAACATGAAATTGATTAGAACAAAAAACAAGGTAAAAAATGTGTTAAAAACAGGGTGGATAAACAAGATCAATAGTTAAGAAGTGAGGCTAAGGTAAAGGGGTTAAAAATACTAAATAATTAATACTTAACTTGAAAAAAAATCATGTCCAGTTATCTGCGTTTGGCATTTCTGTGTGGAGTTTGCATGTTCTCCCTGTGTTTGCGTGGGTTTCTTCCGGGTGCTCTGGTTTTCCCCACAGGTTCAAAGACATGTGCTATAGGTGAATTGGGTAAGCTAAATTGTCAGTTATGTATGTGTGGGAATGAACGTGTATGAATGTTTCCCAGTGATGGGTTGCAGCTGGAAGGGCATTCGCTGTGTAAAACATTTTCTGGATAAGTTGGCGGCTCGTTTCAGTGTGACGACCCCAGATTAATAAAAGGACTAGGCCGAAAAGAAAATGAATGAATGAAGTTATCTGTGTTATATTTTGTCTGCAATAACATTGCAAAGTCTTGTTTGGTCATTAACATTTGAATGCCCAATTTGGCAAACACATGAGGAGATTTCTCTGCATGAAGAACCCACGAAATGCAGATTAAGATGATACTTCATCTGTAATATTTAAAAAAATTAATCATAAGGAAATGAAGAGAATGAGACAAAACGACTGACAGGTTAAGCAAGAGAACAGTCCAGTAATGTGGAAGTAGTATGCCTACTAAGTTTCACACACACACACACACACACACACACACACACACACACACACACACACACACACACACAAGTATGTTGTTTTTCTTCACAAAAAGAACCAAAACTTTAAGGGCATAGTATAAGTATGTAAATCGAGTCACTATAAACTTAAATGCTATCAACCGACAACATTAATTAATTAAATAATTCATTCATTCATTTATTCATTCATTTATTCAATCTCCTTCGGCTTAGTCTCTATTTCAGAGGTCGCCACAGCAAAATGATTCGCCAACTATTCCAGCATATGTTTTACGCAGTGGATGTGTTTCAGCCACAACACTGTATTGGGCATATAGCGCATGTCTTTGGACTATGGAAGAAACCAGAGTACCAGGAGGAAACCCAAGTGAACACAGGGAAAGCAACTGACAACATTTAAATCTTTTTTGTGAATGTCACAGCTGGTTGTGGTTTAAGATACTTTTAAATACTTTACATACTCACTTAAACAGAACATGGACATCCACAACTCTGGCAACCCGTTCAGACAGTTCCCAGGCAATGCGTTCCATCAAAGCTTCCATGCGCTCATCTGTGTTGTAACACCTAGACAATATCCATATCATACGCAGCCCATTTATCAGTTCTGGAATAGTTTCCAAGACCACTTTAAAATCCACTCCTGTGACAAGGTTCTGTAAATAAAAAAAAACATTCAAGAACAATGCTATATTTTTGATATTTCTGTTCTAGTTGGTGTCATTAGTGAGTTCTGTTATTATTTTCTCATTACAATATCAGAAAAAAAGGCATACAAGTTCAACTTCTGAATGACATGGTCAAGTAATGCGGATGACAAAATAAAGATTTTTGTTTTATGGTGCTTTGCTGTACTTAAATTGAAACTATCACTCCTTAAAATCAAAGTCCCTTTTAGGCAAGTCATTTCACTTGGCGTTCATCTTTCAAACACCTCAGGCAGTATGCTCAGGCATTCTGTTTGAATAAAGATCAAAATTTTCCAAAATTGCTAGCAAAGCTTAATATTAAATTTCATATTAGGAAGCATCAATAAAAAACAACAACTGTCTCTTTAGTTTCATTTCTAAATGTTTAAATCACAACAAATCTGCAAATCTGCAGAGAAACTCACGTCTGGTCTGAGCCCCTTCCCAGAGAATCGTCAGTCAATATCAATTGCTGATTGACTCCTGTACTTGAAGGCGGAGCTTCATTCGCCATATTGACCATTACACATTTTCCCACTTAAAACTATAAGTGACATGTCTTGAGTATATTATGGTCTTTGTCAAAATTGAGGTGACATGTTCGCATTCTACTGAAAATCAGCAGAATGTGAGCATGTCGCAATTAAAGTAAAAATGGTATTGTTTACACTACTTCATAAGTGAACTTAATATATTATTTCATAAAGTTCCCTATGATTACTCCTCACCCTGAAGTGTCTCTCCACTGTGGTGAGGAATTGCACATTACTGACAGACTCATCGTAGTATTTTCTAAGCTCGGCTGTGGTCTTTTCCAGTTCCTGCATTATGAATGAATCGGCACGGGTCATCACTTCTAGAATCTTCTTTACTGCTTGCAGATTCAGCTGCTCAATCAAACTACTAAAGACAGCAACACGTTCACGCCAGAACTCAATTTCTGCCAAAGGACCGGGTCCCTTCGGTAATGGAAGAAAAAAACAGATGATTTAGGTTTTATTACTGATCTGCAAATTTGAAAATCATAATTTAATGACAACATTTCATTTAAATTTAATAAACCTGTGGTTTCTTCCTTTTTTGCTCTTCAATGACAATTGTGATTTGTGTGTGCCAATTCATCACACACTGCTCAAGTTTATCCACCATCACAGAATTTGACAAGAACAACTCCACTTCACCCTCCAAATCTATTTCTGGCATGTGCAATTTAAATTCACCTGTAACACAGAAATAAAAAAGGAGCATAAGCATTGATCGTTATATACAGATCAGTGCTAACAAGTAGATGTTGCATGTTGTGCTATATAAGATGTATAACAAAAAGAAAATCCAAAAGCAATTTTCGCCTTTTAATATTAAATCCACAATTTCAGGAATCAATAGATTCAGTTCACAAATTAGGCAAGCTTATCTACAATTTAAGTCAGAATCATTAGCCCTTCTAAATTATTAGCCCCTGCATATCGTTTTCCTAATATCTGTTTAACGGAAAGAAGATTTTTTTTTCAACACATTTCTAAACACAATAGTTTTAATAACTCATTTCTAATAACTGATTTTTTTTAGAAAATCTTTGCCATGATGGAAGTACATAAAAATTTTACCTGATATTTTTCAAGATACAAGTATTCAGATACAAGTAAAAATTAAAGGATGAATTGATTTCATTAGGCAAGGTAGGGTAATCACTGTATAATGATGGCTTGTTCTGTAAACAATAAAAAAATACTGCTTAAGGGGGTTAATAATATTGACCTTAAAAATGTAAAACTGCTTTTGACCTAAGAGAAATAAAAAAAAAAAACTTTCTTCAGAAGAAAGAATATTATAGGAAACACTGTGAAAATTTCTTTGCTCTGTTAAACATCATTTGGGAAATATTTGAAAAAGAAAAAAATGAAAGAGAAAAAAAAAACTTCACAGGAGGGCGAATAATTTTAACTTCAACTGTATATGTGGAACGGCATCTTTAAACATACTGTCATGAATAATTTTAACTTCAACTGTATATGTGGAACGGCATCTTTAAACATACTGTCATTAAATGTCTCCACATTTTATATCTATTCTTTGTGAGCCACCAACCCTTCATGCAGTTACATTCAGGCGAATCCTATACTCCCTTTCATCTTTCCTTTATTCTGTCATCCTCTCTGCTCACATGCACCCAGTTTTCATTCAAAGATGTAAACAGAGAAACAGACACTTTATGCTACACGTTCACTTCTTTTCTAGATGGTATCTGCACGCCAGCTCAAGTTACCCATGTAACGCCTGGTTATGATGTCCTTCAGCAGAGAGAAACTGGTACAAATTAAAAAGCTCCAGCCGACCTGAGTGTGTACCAGTCTATTACTTACATCTTTAGAGAGACTGCATTACTGTCAGTTGTTGAAAGATAAAAACTAGGAAAAGAAAGATCTTAAATATACATATATAAATTGAAATATACAAAAAAAAAAGTAAAATTAATCAGTAACCATAAAAACTAACTAGTGGCAGGAAAAGGGAACAAAAAACTACAGTAGGGCAAATGAAACAGGAAGCAAAAATACTAAAACAAAACAAAAACATGACAGCACTGTCAACACTGATTTAAATCATTCAAGCTTTTTAAGTGGTCTTGTGCACAACATCAACATGTAGGCAGGATTTCTCAAGTACCGAGTGACACGAAAGATTGCTGTAATGGCTGCTGAAAAATGTACAGCGGCTCGGCCAAGGGACAAATTCTATTTTAATATATATTAAAATACAAAATTAATATTTCCCTTTTTTAATCTTATTTCTTATTTTTGATCAATCAATAAATATTTGCTGAACTCAAAACACTGAAATATAAATATTCCTGCTATTTAAATTGACACCAGCAGCATACCTTCCAGCTGCCGTAGAGTTTGGTCTATGACCTGTAGGAATTTATGTGTGCTGTGGAGAAGATCATCCCGGACTTCAAAAGACCCACGGGACTCTACAGGCTGCTGCTTTTCACCTTCTGTTGTCTTGCTTATGTCATTGTCTTCAGAGCCAGCAACACCCTGATAGCCACCATTAGTGAGTCTCTGCTGGTTCGCCGAAAGACGAGGGATATACACCTGTGAACAAAGTGTAAGTTGATTCATAAAAAATATATACTTTCAAAGCATAACTACTTGAAACACATTTTTATGAAGATGAGAATCACGCACATGGTTGAGAAGCCCACTAAGCATCTTCAAGGGGTGGTCATTCATCATGCCAAACTCAATAAGTCTGGGCATCAAATGATTAGCCTCGTTTATGTCCACTGGTTCAGTGATGGTTTCTGTATAAGATAAGCACCAGACCAGACAGTTACAGATAGTACAATACTATAAGAGACACATTTTGGAAATGCCTTATATACCTTTAGTGTTCCTCAGGAAGTAAAGGACATTGTATTTCTCAAACCTCTCTGGTATAATGTTCACTTCCACATGAAGCTCGACGTGATACACAACCTGGATCTCAAACTTGAGAAAGGAACAATAAAACCAAAATTTGTCAGAGAATCATCATTAACACCCTACAATAAAGTCTTGTTTGTTAACATCAGTTAACCCTTTATAGGGCACTCATTGAAATAGTCATTGGAAAACCCCTGGAGTGTTACTAGGGGTTATTAAAAGCATTTTAAAGGTTTATAATTAAAAAAAGGTTCCTCTCCCAGGATTAATGTATTCAAATTACCTATGAACAGCATGTAGTAACTTGTTTATGTTACCTAATCAATAGAAATTAATTATTAATTAATAGCAGCTTGTGGTTAACATGGATGCACACAGAAGAACAGGTTACTGGATTAACTTCTTTAGTGATAATGGCACAAAATTCCAATGAACCAATTAGACTTTAGGAAAATGTTTACAGTTCTACTCTTCTTTTACACCATTCTTATTCATCTAAAATTCGCTCCGATTTTAGCAAAAGATGCTGATCGGGCTGATTTAATTGACAAAATCATGTTGACTGTTAGTTGAAATTGTAAAAACTGATGTTAACAAGTACGACTTGATTTTGTAGTAGTAAATGTAGAAATGATCTGATTTCATACAAATATAGATTAATACTAAATAATCTGATTAAACATACATAATACTTTAAGACTGCATTTCATTTATAATCTTAATTATCAATTAACTGTAATGGTGATTTACATTGCGAAGTGGTTTATCCCCATTCTCTGTAGTCTCTGACAGGCCTTCAACTGCAAGATTCTGACTTTGAGAGTCTTCTGGGTTTGATGACTCCTGGCTTTTTCTTTTTTGGCCTTTTCTTTTCTCTTTAGCCATGTGTGGTAAATGGAAAAATAAATGAGGAACTTGTACTGTATATTCAGAAAAGTTACAATATTGATATGAATCATTGCTGAAGCAAACTCACTGTCAGCAGGGGTTTTCTCTCTGTCTGAGAGGAGCGTCCTTTCAGAGGAAGCAGATGGACTTCTTTCTGAGTCATTCTCCTCACCTTCTACTGGATCTTGGGGTATGTGGAATGGCTTGGTGCTGTTTGCTATTGAACATAAAATACTCTTTTTTAAGACATCTTATAACTTAAGATATTATAGTATACACTCTCCGGCCACTTTATTAGGTACACCTGTCCAACTGCTTGTTAACGCAAATTTCTAATCAGCCAATCTCATGGCAGCAACTCTATGCATTTAGGCATGTAGACATAGTCAAGACTCAGTAGTTGCTGCAGTTCAAACAGAGCATCAGAATGGAGAAGAAAGGTTATTTAAGTGACTTTGAATGTGGCATGGTTGTTGGTGCCAGGCAGGCTGGTCTGAGTATTTCAGAAACTCCTGATCTGCTGGAATTCACACACGACCCTCTCTAGTGTTTACAGAGAATGGTCTGAAAAAGAGAAAATATCCAGTGTTCTGTGGGTGCAAATGCCTTGTTGACGGTCACTCAAATAACCACTCGTTACAACCGAGGTATGCAGAAGAGCATCTCTGAACGCACGACACGTGGAACGAACCTTAAGGCGGATAGGCTACAGCAGCCAAAGACCACTCCGGGTGCCACTCCTGTCAGCTAAGAACAGGAATCTGAGGCAACAATTTGCATTGGCTCACCAAAATTGGACAATAGAAGATTGTTTCTGCTGCAACATTTAAATGGTAGGGTCAGAATTTGGCATCAACAACATGAAAGCATGGATCCATCCTGCCTTGTTTCAACGGTTCAGGCTGGTGGTGGTGTAATGGTGTGGGGGTCATTTTCTTGGCACACTCTGGGCCCATTATTACAAATTAAGCATCGTGTCAATGCCACAGCCTACCTGAGTATTGTTGCAGACCATGTCCATCTCTGTATGACCACAGTGTACCAATCTTCTGATGGCTACTTCCAGCAGGATAACGCTCCATGTCATAAAGCATGAATCATGTCAGACTGGTTTCTTGAACATGACAATGAATACACTGTTCTCAAATGGCCTCCACAGCCAATAGAACTCAATCCAATTGAGCACCTTTGGGGTGTGGTGGAACGGGAGATTCACATCATAGATGTTCAGCCGACAAATCTGCAGCAACTGCGTGATACTATCATGTCAATATGGACCAAAATATCTGAGGAATATTTCCAGTACCTTGTTGAATCGATGCCACGAAAGATTAAGGCAGTTTTGAAGGCAAAAGGAGATCCAACCCGTACTAGCAAGGTGTACCTAAAAAGTAACTTAGCCAGTGAGTGTAGTTCATTCACTTAATTTTAAGACTATGCAATGGGTTTAATGTTACTCACTTTTTTCCCAAGTAAAGTCAACTAATCAGCTTTTACAGTACCTTGTTGAATCTATGCCATAAAGGATTATGGCATGTAGTAATGCTAATAAAGTGACCGGTGGTGAGTGTATTATCTCAGTGAATGAGAAATTGAGTAACGTTTCTAAACGTCACACTCCACGTCCACGTCCACGTGCAGAAACTATTCGTTAACTAATGTAACGTTACTAAGTAGTTAATGTTAAGAGGGAAGTTACAATTGCGTTAAAATGAAAACGTAACGTTACCTGCAGGAATTTCAACTTCAATCTCCTCTTCTCGTACATTCTTGAAGAAAAAAAGTGTTAAAGCCACCTCTTCCTCCGTGACCACGTTTAAAAAGTGTTTGATTTTCTGCTCTTCCTCTCCATCACCGCGGCTGAGCAACTCGTCAAAGCAGCCTGAATCAGGCAAATCATACATCACACATACTGCATTTTTAATCCACTCCACTCGAGAGTCGTCGTGAGCCATGCTCACTGTTTTCTGGAGGAATAACTATATGGTAACGTTTGTAGTTTGCACAAAAAATATATATATTTAGACCATCATTTCTGAAACTGACACCGCGCACTGGTTTTAGTTGACGTTGCTATAACAACAGCGGGTCACATGCGTGCACTGTCGTATGGGGTTGCCAGATCACCAGCACAAATCATACGATCCATGACTCGCAAAGAAAAGATTGAAACGTTTAGTACAAAAGTTTTATAAATGTGTTTTTGAATGTTATGCTCTGCTAAACTCATGATTATTAAAAAAAAAAAAAAACGGTTTCCCACTCTTAGCCATGTATTCCTTCCCTGACTTTTTCCTTCACTGTAAGGAAAACAAAATGGTGCTGTGCTTATTTGCACAAAAATAATAAAATTGCAATACTCGGACTGCTATGCCATCATAAATTGTGAAAATTATAGATAGAAGAAGGCTTTAAGACAAAATGTAATTTTTAATTCCTAAAGTGGCCATATTCTGACTGAAGAGAGTTGAATGAGCTGGCCAGTTTTTATTTGCCCATAGGTTAGTTTTTATTTTAAAACAACTCTTACCAGATGATAAGTTTGTGTTTATATATTTTTATATATATTTCTTTATTCTTTTGTTTTAAATGCTAATCTCATAAATAATATTTATAAAACTGGAAGTTGCGGTTTAAATCCAAATTTTTAAATAAATTTGACAAAATTGTAGAAAATATGTTTGTTGCATAAAAAAAGTGTGGTTATAATCACTGTCCGATAAGCTGATCAAGCAAAGATTAGTTCTTAAAATCACTAAAATGCACAACTGAATAGAAAATGAGGCGAATAACTGCAAAAAAAGATCCACTTAAATGCTGTTCATACATTAGGTGTCCTCAAACATTGCACCAGGTATATACAAATTACAAGATGTTTTCACGCCTGACTAGGAGGTGGTTTTTGTCAAATCAAATTTGTACACAGTGAGATGATTTTGAGTTGTCAGTGTTTTAGTTTATATGTGATTATGCCTGAATGTTTTAAACTGACTTTTTAATTGGATTTTATTGTTTTAATTTTAACCTGTCCAGGGACTGCAGGTGGAAATTAGCAAACCTGCTACAACCTGGCACAATGCATCTTTCCTCTTTGAGGTTAATGTAATCTTTGTGCATTACCCCTGTTAAATAAATAAATTCATTCTTTAAAGCCCCAAAAAGGAGCCTTCCCACATGTACAAGCAAGACACTGTTCTGATTATTGAAATGTGTTTTTTTACGCTAGAAAGAATGAGAGTAAAGCCAAACGTGACAAAGTATTTACAATGGACGTTTATTTATATGTACACATGCAAATAATATAGTGCTGTTTGTAGCAGCAAATTATTAATCATATAAACATATACATTTTATATTGATAATGGACAAAGATAATCAAATCTTCAACAGTGACAAAACTCTTACACACTCCCCTAACAAATCTGAATACAGGAGGAAACCTCCTATGGTTGTTATAGCGCTGAAAATCAAAATATTAAGAATTATTCACTTCTTAATCTATATAGAAGTTTTAGCACAAAAATAACACAAATCAAAGAATACACATGCCAACCAAATCCTGAATTACCCCAAAAAGTGCACATTTTGTATCTCTCCAAAGTCAAAAATACATGCATTAAAAATACATGCAATTATTCTCATCAGCTCATCAGTAAGAGTCCAAGATGTCAAACGGGTATGTCAGATACATGGGTTTGTTCTGTAACTAACAAGTGAAAAATCCACACACTTAACAAAACCTGACACCATTACACACATTTTTTCTGCTGACAAACAGAATCAAGAAATTTGAAGATCACTGACAGTAAAACATGTTTTTCCAGGTACACTTTGATCTACACATGACACCAATTTACCTAATGTATGGTTAAATTATGCTTAGTCCAAGAAGAATCTGTGTAAAATGTTACTATTATTGCCACATAATAAGTATGTGTATATGTTGCCACTGAAAATGAAAAAGCGGAAATGATTATGACACCATGGTACCGTTTGTATGACACCCACCACAAATAGCATCACAGATTTAGCTTGCACTGTATCACAATGAGTGATCTATGATACTTTAGTACAAAAGAACCTGAAGGATTTTCAGGACGTTTATTTTCTTTAGAGTTTAAAAAAATGTGTTGACTCATTATCTTGTTTGCTAGCTTCTAGTAATTTCATGGGGCCTTTGTTGTTGTTGTCGTGGATGCGTCTTTACCATTGTCATCATTGCTAAAGCTCAATGCCACAGCCAAGATTATGCCAAGAAGCACTGCAGCTGCAACTGCTGCTATAACCACTTTATACTTGATATTTTCCCAGCGCTTCTTCTGTTTCACCTTTGTGGCGGTCTTTGAGAATGCTTTGCCCTGAAAAGTAATAACAAAACAAAGTTGTTTTTTTTATTTTACATTTTATATTTAACAAGATAAAACTGTCCCCAACATTTTTTTTTAAATAAACAAATCACCATTGAGTCTTCTCATCAAGCAAATAAGAGAAAAGCCATGCGAGGCTTTGAAATGGACTTGATACTCATTTTGTTTTCCTAAATGTGATTATAGTCTTTGTTTGGAGTAGTCATTGACACCAACCACACAGTGGGAATCATAAATCAAACTGTGCTCATATATTTGGCCAAAGGAGAGCTGGTTGTGACTTGGCCTGGCTTCTCCTAGTTTTTTTTTTTTTTTTTTTTTTTTGCTATTGTCATTTTTATCTTTGGCTTTCTCATTCATTAAACGCAAGAATACAAGACAAATAGTATTTACTATTGTTACTGATTTAACTGCACTGACACTGTTGGCTAATTCAATTCGGTTCAAGTTTATTTGTTCAGTGTTTTCCCAATAATTACTGTCCAAAATTAGAATCAAAACAAGAAAAAAAAAAAAAACCTTAAGGTTGGACAGAACAGATAGTTAACCTGGAGTTATACAATTTTGTTGTCATTGAGTCCTTGGAACACGGAATGTTTATAAGAAAATGCCTGAGGCACAAATAGAGCAACAAGTGTGTTTCCTGCAGGATATGAACAACATTTTAAATTTAGTTGGATTATGATACTAAGATTCCTTACTTGACAGGTCGTGTTTAGTTGCTAGGTTTGGTTCTGATGTTATTGCTTTGTTATTTTAAATGCTGCTTTGTACACCAAACAAGCAGACTAAGATCACAAAAAATGGGTCCCTGTCCACTTTTAAACAAAATTTGGTGCAGAGTGACAGAAGACTACAATGTAGTCCAAAAAAATAAAAATAAAATGAATAAATAAATTATATACAGTGTGTATGCATGTATGTATGTATGCATACATATATATACATACACACACACACACACACACACACACACACACACGCACACACACATATATATATATATACATACATACATATACATACATATATATACATACATACATACACACACACACACACACACACACACACACACACACACACACACACACACACACACACACACACACACACACACACACAAACACACACATATATATATATACACATACATATATATATATATATATATATATATATATACATACATATATATATATATATATATATATATATATATATATATATATATACACACATATATACACACACACACATATATACATATATATATACACATATACATACATATATATATATATATATATATAGTAGATGATCAGGTTAGAATTCTCAAGCAAACCTGTTTTTTTTTTTTTTTTCTCATCAGTCACACTGTTTTGGATGTCATGAAAGCCTAACAAAATAACCAAGAAAATCAAACTACAGTTGTGATCTTTGAACTTGGACCGTTATTGAACCAAACTGGATCAATACTGAACTAAATAAAAGCCTCATGGTCTTCTGGAACGCTGTGTAACTGCTGATAATTAACTTGTTTGTTTGTACATTTATTTTTCCACTCCAATGGAATTTTGAGTATGCTCGCATGAGACAAAAAAATGAAAATCAATGTGAACTTGTTGCCTAACCACAATGCATGTCTTGTGCAAACAGCCTGCCATACTATTACACAAGTTTTTGTTCATCTCAAAACAAAGGGAAATAGCTTTCTAAAATTAACAAAGTAAACTAAACTCAGGATGCAAATTGAACACTTTTTTTTCCCCCGTATACTCCACCAAGACACTATTAATAGACTCAAATTCGATAGGTCCTTGCTCTGCCTAGAAAACACTTGAAATTCCGGAAACCCAGTTTATAGTTTTCCAAGTCCTCAGAGAGCTGTATATCATGTTCACAGGAACACAGAATAAGTTAATGGGACAGCTCGTTTATGTGCTTAAATAGTTGGTGTTACAAAAGTTCTACCTTTACAAGTAGGTCGTCAGCCCTGGTCTCCAGTTCCTTGAGTTTTCCTGATCGCTCTTCAGCCTTGTTTAGGTTATCCAGCATGATACCTTTAACTTCCTCCACATCTTTTTGAGCCTCGCTGAGGCGGCTGTTCCCATTCTGCTGAGAACAGATGAAATGGCTCATTGGAAAAGACAAAAGCACTAGCTAATAACACAACATACATTGCCCTTAGTTCATACATATTTTTAAACAAAATATTGTTTTTCGTAAAGGAGTAGATGTCATTCAGTGTCCCACTAGATGAGTGGTTCTTAACCAGTCAACCAGGGCCTAAAAGCATCTCAAGATGATTAAAAAAATAATAATAAATATTCAAGTTATTTATTTACTTAATTACTTTAATTTATAACCTAAACTACTTTTTCTTCAGACAATCTTGACTAATAGACCCTTTTCACATTTTTGGGTTTCTCAGTAACGGAAGACATCATAGCTGGGTAAACTATAGAATACAACAAATAATTTTTTACAGTCTTATTTGCTCAAATAATAAAAGAAAACTCCAGGATAGTGTTTTCAAGACTTTCAGAAAAAGAAAAAAAAGTAGTGCGAGACTAATTTTGTCAAATTTACTCTCAGCCCCATATACGCTGCCTTAGAAACACCTAGCATAAGCAGTAATTAGCTTTTTGTAATTTGACGCAAAGATGATACAATACATTCATAAATGCATATAAAAAAATATTAAATAATACCGTTAAACCGTCATCAGTTTT